TATCCCTAGACGGGGACCTCCCGCAGCCTTCCCTGCAACAGGACCTAGTTGCGCTGCATCTGCTCCGCACTGGTGACCTCTCCCCGCTTCCTCGACTCCCTGCTCTGCTCCTCGTGCTGCTGCGCCTGGCGCTCACGCTGCGCCGTTCCGTTCTCCTCCCACTCCTTGCGTCCTCTCCGTCCATATGCTGACCCTGGGAGCAGCCAGAAGGACCCTCCCGCCTGCCGCCACCACCCCTGTCACCTCCCTCCAGGGTGGGTCTACGTCTGTCTCCTGCTGCTGTTGCGCCTGGCTTCCCTCTAGCCGTCCTTCCCGTTAATGAATCCTGTCCCTGGCTGATCGCCGTGCGCCCTGATCCAGCCGTCTCCTGCGCACTAAAGCCTCCACCGACATCCTCCCTCCTGACCCCTGCCTGGGCCGTCCCTGCGCTGACCTCGCCGCCCCAGCCTCCCCCAGACCCATGGGGGGCTGCTCTTGTCTCCACACTCCCCATAACCACATTCTCCTGCCCCACAGCGGTGCCAATGGTGGCTGACTCACCGGGACGTTCCAGCTCTGTAATCCCGCCCACGTGACCGTCCTCCGTCCTGGCCGCAGACCCGGCCGCCGAATTGGAAGCCACCGCTCCATCTCCCCTGCCTGCCGCCGACCAGCGCGGTGTGCGTCGACCAGCCGCCGGGTGCTTTACGGCCGTCCGCGCCAGACCGCAGCCGCGCCTGCCAGCCCGAGCCATTCTCCTTCCCGGCTCCACGACCGGGACCTCTCCTGCCTCCGCGGACGTTCCTCCTCCCTCTGAAGGGCTTCTACGGCGTCTCGCCGCGGGCCCAGCACCCGGGCTCAGCCGCTGCGGCGGCCTCGTCCTCCTGGCCGGTCGTCGTGCTGCCACCGTTGCGGAAGGCCCGGCGGCCCCCAGCTGCTGATGTAGCCATTCGAGGCCACGGTCCCTCACGGCCGCCCGCACTCCCTCCAGAAGCTCCTCCAGCGCTGCCATCGACCTGCAGGGAAACAAAGAAAAAAGGGGGGAAACCTCTCTGGCCTGCAACAATCTACAGGTAAGAGAGGCTCCAGTTAAAATGGCCCCTATTCTAATATGGCTGCTCTTTATATCCCTACTCTCCACCCCCCAAAACATCACTCCCAAAACCCTTCCCACAAACTTAAGCCCATGCCCACTCCCTGGCTCTGTCAAGGCCCGCTCCCCACACTGCGTTGCTCCATGGGCTACCTGTCAGTGAGCTTGTGTGCTTACTGTACTCTCTCTCTCTCTCTATATATATATATGTTTTATATATAGAGAGAGAGTACAGTAAGCAATATATATATTGACTTGTAGGAATGGCATACATTTTTTTTTCCAGGGCTGCTTTGGATTCCCAGGGATTCCCAGTTTGGCTCTGCCAGCGAGTGCACTTTACCGCTGAATCATCTGTGTGAGCTGCCGCACACTTTAGCCCTTTTACACGCGTCTGGGAGCTGCTGTTGACAGGTACTAGTAGTCTAGAGATTGGGACATGGGGTATATGCTCAGCAATCTGTATAATACAGATCTGTGTGTATATAATATCCTGGGATAGTCAGTGCTTCCTGTATAGTGCTGCTCTCTGTATAATACAGGCCTGTGCCTGTATAATATCCCGGGACACTCAGTGCTCCCTGTATAGTGCTGCTCTCTGTCTTGGGATATTATACACAAACAGACCTGTATTATACAGAGAGCAGCACTATACAGGGAGCACTGAGTGTCCCAATTTATTATACACACAACCCTGTATTATACAGAGAGCACTGACTTTCCAGGGATATTGTACCCATACAGTAATTGATAGCTGTGCTGCAAAATGTCCTTGGAAATTTTTTTTCAAATGTTGGCAACTATGGCACTGTATCAAGGGTAATGTGTTTGTTTTTTTAATAATCCCTGGTGAAAAACAATGAATCCTCCACCAGGTATTATTAAAAAAAAAAAACACGTTGTGTTGGGGGCGGGGTCAAACTGCGGTGAGGGCGGGGTTAAATGTGCCCCCCTACTTTTGTCCCTGGCCCTCCATGTGCACCCCCTAAAAATGAATCCTAGAGACGCCACTGACGTCACCCGTGACAAGAACATAAAAGAAGACAAAGTCGCTCCTAACGCAGAAATGCCATTTTTCCAGTCACCTTCTTCATCATATTCATCGCAGTAAATGCGCCAATAGCGAGGGAACATGGAACTATCATGTATCTTGTGGACGTAAGATATGTGACAACAAATAGCAGCCACCTCTATATCCTTTTGCTACCATTAAAGTCTGCTGGATCCATCTGATCATTTTATATTATTTTATTGTATTTCAGTCATTATGTAAATAACATGTTGCCGAATGGCCTGACCAATTTTTAAAGGAACACTATGGTGTCAGGAACCGTATTCATGACACTATAGTGGTAAAATCACTGTTCAGCTCCCAAGCCCCCTTGCCTCTCTTTAAAAAAAAAAAAAAAACGTATTATACTCCCCTTTTTTAGTGACAGATGGCCCTGTCTGGCTCTATCTCCATGGCTGAGATCATCAATCTTGATGATCACAGCCAACCCTATGCTTTCCCAGAGGATAGCAAAATGCTAAACGCTGTGCTGGCCAATCAACATCTCCTCCAAGATGCATTGAATCAATACATCTCCATGGGTACTTCAGTGTCTCAATGCAGAGCGTGGAGACCTTAAACATAGGTGCTGTACACTGCACAGTATTGACACAGGAAACCCCTCTAGTGCTGTATGAGGCGTGGTCACTAAAGGTGTTACTAGGCAGCAATGTAAACACTGCCTTTTCTCGGAAATGGCAGTGTTTACATTAAAAAGCCTGCAGGGACTGGGAGTAGACACCAGAACCACTACAAGCAGCTGTAGTTGTTCTGGTGACTGTTTCACCCCTTAACGCTGTTACGGTGTTCTATGCCGTCCCCATTTTAATGGGCTTTAAAGACGTTGCGGCAGCATAGAACGCCGTAACGGTTTGCAGCCCCAGGAGGTGAGATTTACTTACCTCCGCCGCGATCCTCTTCGGGAGGACTGCCTGACAACCCAGGCAGCCCTCCCACGGCAAATCAGGCTCCCTATAGCTGGCTGTGGATCTGCCAGCAGGGGGACTGTCTGAAATGTCAGACAGTCCCCCTGCTGGTGGGAAATGTAAAAAAAAATAATTAGACATGTTTTAAAATAAATCAAATGTATTTATATATATATATATATATATATATATATCTTATATATATATGTAACGTCATATGTAGTGTATTTTAATGTTAATATAAGTAGATATATTAGTATTAAAATACACTTAGAATGACGTTACATATATATAAGATATATATATTATATATATAATACATCTATATATATTTTATATTTATATATACATTTATAATTACAATAAGAAATAAAATAATAAAATAAATAAATAAAATATTTAAAAAAAATTTAAAACAAATTATATATACATTTGTAATTTCATTCTAACTGTATTTTGTTATTAATACATATATATTGGTAACAAAATACACTTAGAATGACATTCTATATATATCTATCTATATATAAAATACATATCACCACAAATATATATAGATAATTACATAAATAACTACATAAGTGTACATCTAGACTTTAAATACATATGTATATATATCAAAATTCTACATGTATATTTAAGTAATCTTTTAACATTATTATGTGATTTAATTAATAAAAATTTGATTGACATGCCTGACAACCCAGGCAGCAAGTACAGAGAATTTGAATTGCATGCACTCTATTTACCCTGTAACTTTCCAAGACACCATAAAACCTGTACATGGGGGGTACTGCTTTACTCGGGAGACTTCGCTGAACACAAATATTAGTGTTTCAAAATGGTAACTTGTATTACAACAATAATATCTTTAGTACAAGTTAGGTTTTTTTGCATTTTTCACACACGAACGGCACTTTTACTGACGATATTATTGTTGTAATATGTTTTACTGTTTTAAAAATACTTATTTTAGTGTTCAGTGAAGTCTCCCATGTATAACAGTACCCCCCATGTACAGGTTTTATGGTGTTTTGGAAAGTTAGAGAGTCACATATAAGGCTTGCATTTCATTTTTTTGACATTGAAATTTGCCAGATTGGTTATGTTGCCTTTGAGAGCGTATGGTAGCCCAGGAATAAGAATTATCCCCAGGATGGCATACCATTTGCAAAAGTAGACAACCCAAGGTATTGCAAATGGGGTATGTCCAGTCATTTTTAGTAACCACTTAGTCACAAACACTGGCCAAATATTTGTTTTTTGATTTTTTCACACAAAAACAAATATGAACGCTAACTTTGGCCAGTGTTTGTGACTAAGTGGCTACTACAAAAGACTGGACATACCCCACTTGCAATACGTTAGGTAGTCTACTTTTGCAAATGGTATGCCATCATGGGGGTAAATCTCATTCCTGGGCTACCACACCGTCTCAAAGGTAACATTACTAATCTGGCACATTTTAATGTGAAAAACCTGGAAAATTGAATGTGCTATATTTGACCCTGTAACTTTCCAAAACACCGTAAAAACTGTTAATGGGGGCTACTGTTGTACTCGTGAGACTTAGATGAATCCAAATATGTGCTCTTTTTGCAGTAAAAGCTAACAGTATCATGACATTTACAGCTAAATGTGATGCGGAACTACCATTTTTTTACACTTTTTAAATTTCTCACAGTTTTTTTAATTTTATTCATAATAAATTATGTTTCATATATGAATATTTCATGCGAAGTTAAAGCCCTGTTTCGCCCGAACAAAATGATATATAATAAGTGTGGGTGCACTTAATATGAAAGAGGTGAATTACGGTTGGACAAACATGTAGCGCAAATGCCAGAATTTGTTTACATTTTGTTCTGATCAGAACGTGCACTATTGACTCCGTCATAAAAGGGGTTAAAGATTATACACATTTCTGTTCGATGAACTGTAAGGAGGAGGAGTTAAATAAAGTACCTAAAGCTGTGTGGAGCGCTGGAAAGCTCAGATTGATCACATGTTGGGAAACAATGACATCTCAGAAACTTGCCAAAGTGTTCCTGCAGCCAACATGCAGAGCTGGCACTCTCTATGGGAGATCAAAGACCACACTGGGCACTGCAGCAGCAAAGTTGGACACAGAAAAAAAACTGAAGGGGATTGAGGATTTACCAGGACCCAGCCTGTTAAATGTTTTATACTGGATCTTCCTGCGGGGCTACCTGTCTCGTACACACGAATTAGAGGTGAGGAGAGTTTAAAACATAGAAATCCTGAGGAATAAGAGGGATTATTCACTAAACTAAGAAATGAAAGGGAATAGGCATGGTTAACAGAACACTGGGTCAGGGTCTCAGTTTGCAATGTAAAAGGTACAGGCACAGTGTGCAAGAGCATTTCTTTACAGAAAAGGTGGTTGATTCATGGAAGAGACGCCCAGTGGAGGTGGTAAAGACACGGCTATATTAACAACTAAGTGGGTTTACTATTCACATGTAATGTGGGAGTCCTGACAGGCTTGTTGGTTTATTCTATTTGCTGGCAAAGACTTTGTTTTCTCTTCACTAAACAGTGCAAAAGCTGTGGTGAACTGAAAATGGCGTGAATTTAGTGGCAAATAGCCAATTTTGGAACAGAGTTGTGTATGACTGACATTTTTTTAACAACATTATATCCCAATTTGTGTTCAGCAGAGGTATTTTAATTACTAAAGTGAGAATTTAAAGTGAATTTCAGAATGAAGGCTGGAGTATTAATAGACTAAAAGCTCAGTGGACTTTGAAAATGTTTCTACTAAAGGCACAGAGACCACCTAATCTCAATGTAGTGGTCTGTGTGTGCTGGCCCTGTAGTGTTACACCTTGTGATGTAAAACATTGCAGTTTTTTTTTTTTTTAGAAACAACATTGAAGGGTTGAACACAGCTCTAGTGGCTGTGCCCTGTGTCACAATTTAGCAAATCAAGTGCAGCTCAAATGGAAGCACTGGATTTAATGCCTCCCTTTGCTAAACATTCTATTGTCATCCATCTCGTCGACAATGATGTCGCTGGATATAGAGCAGGTGGCAGCATCGAGTGAGTAATGGCGCTGGAAAAATGGTCAGCAAAACCTAATTTCTAAAAATGTATTCATTTATTTTGATGGGCGAAAAGGGCAGTGCCTGAATCTAAATATGCACTAGGAGACTATAGCATTAGCAATACATGTTTGTATAACTAATAGTTTAGTGTTCATTTAAATTTGAAAATCACTTTGAATATTCTCACTCCAGTAAATAAATATATAATATATATATATATTTTTTTTTTTTAAATAATTCTGTTACATAAAATTCGTAAAAGTATATCGTTTTGTGATTCAGAAATGTTATCGACAACAATTTATGACTTGGTGGAAAATTTCCAACATGCGTTCCACAATATACTGATCTACAATTAAAAACGTGTTGTTTTAGGCCAGAGAATCTGCCAATTCCTTCTGTAAACACTGAAAAGCAGACTGAGCAAAATAACATTCTGGTTTTCATTTTGTTAGGGTTTACTGGGGAAAAAAACAAAACAGTTCTTGAATTGTTGAATAGTTTCATTGAAATTAACTGTTTGGAGATGATGGCTTTTCCTACCTTGAACAAAAGTTACAAAGAAACATTGAAAACTTTCAAAAACATCTTGAAGAAAAAAGCATTTCAATGCAACTTTCTTGATTTCAAAGAGGATAACAGTTTTCGAAAGAAATGATAATCTAGACATAGGTTTAATTTTAGATATTAGATCTGATGAGATCAAGTGAACAGAACCCGAAAGACAAGTTTGGTTGGGGGCTAACGAAAACGTTTATGTGGGAGGAAATTACACAATACTTGTTCCAGGGCCGGTGCAAGGATTTTTAGCTACACAGGCGAAGATGCATTTTGTCGCCTTCCTTCCCCCCCACCCGCAAAAAAAGTGCGTCTTCACCTGTGTGTCTTGTAACCGCCCCCCCCCCTTTTGAATGTCTTACTTTCTTACCCTCTTTAGTGTTTCATATCCCCTCTTTTGAACGTATTACCCCTCTTTAGTCCTCTTTAGTGTGTCTTACAACCTCCTTTGTATGTCTCTTACCCCCAGCCCCTTTCTTAGTTTTATTCTCCACCACAGTCCCTCTATGTGGCTATTTCTCACCTTAGTCCGTTTTGTGTGTCCCTCCCCTCCAGATCCCTTTGTGTGTCTTTTCTTCCAAGCCATGTAGACATAGATATGCAGGCAAAAATACATACATATTTACACAATCATAGAGGCACACATACATTGTTTTTCAGGCACACAATCAAACAATGTCATACAGGTACACTGCCATACAAACACAGACATAATCATACAGAGACATACAGACAGAGAGATACAGGCAGAGACATACAGAAACAGTCACACAGACATACAGACAGTCACACGGAGACATACAGGCAGAGACATGCACACATACAGAGACATACACACATACAGAGGTACAGAGACATGCAGGCATACAGAAACATACACACAAAGACGTAAAGGCATGCAGACACATACATACATACAGACACACACATACATGCGTACAGAGGCATACATACATGCACACAGAGACATACATACATGCACACAGAGACATACATACATACATACATACAGGCACACAGAAACAAACATACATACAATACCTACACAAATGCACACAGAGACATACATACAATACATGCACACAAAGACATACATACAATACAGGCACAGAGAGACATACATACAATACAGGCACAGAGAGGCATACAGGCACACAGAGACATACATACATACAATACATGCACACAGAGACATACATACAATACAGGCACAGAGAGGCATACATACATACATGCACGCAGAGACATACATACATACAATACATGCACACAGAGACATACATACATACAGGCCACAGAGACATACATACAAACATGCACACAGAGACATATATACATACAGGCACACAGAGACATACATACATACACACACACAGACAGTCACAATTACATACCTACTGTACATACAGGTCCTTGAGGTGCATGCTGACAGGTGACCGGCTCTGTGGAGTCCTGTCTTGCAGCCCAGCCTCATCACTGGGCACCAGCCGCGCTGTGTGGTACACAGGGAGCAGGGATATGATGTCATTCATATCCCCGCCCCCTCCACACAGCTTTCGTCAGACACCAGTTCAGGAAGCTCCTCGGGCAGCAGTAAGCTGGGCAGGTGGTAAGAGGCTGCGCTGAGTAGAGGCACTTGCACTATGCCATGCTTCATAAAGTAACCGGCTGGAGGGGAGTGCTCCCCTCCAGCTGGACAGCCTGACATTGCGCCCCCAGGGCTGGTGCGCCCTAATGTGGCCGCCTGGGCCGCCTTATGGAAGCGCCGGCCCTGACTTGTTCCATAAGATTCACATAGCCTGCATGAAAAAAAAATTGTTTCATTGTCAGTCAGATGTTAACTTACTTTAAAAATAAATTGAACTTGAAGATCTTGCAGGTTCTAGCAGGCCATTAACAGGGCATGTGATAAGCAATTCCATATTAAACAGAATGTACAATAAAGGAAGAGTAAACATTAGCTGACTCTTTACAGGAAGTGTTTAGGAAGACTGCGCAAGTTACATGCAGGAAGGTGTGGTTAGGTCTGTATAAACAAAGAGATTTAACTCCTAAATGGCAGATAATTGAGCAGTGAGACTGCAGTGGCATGATCTATACACCAAAACTGCTTCATTAAGAACATTTTGTTTTGGTGCTGGTAGTGTCCCTTTACCAGAGAATAATATAATAACAAAAACCAGGTCAGGTACAAAGGACAGCAGAAAAAACATGTAGCTTGCTGAATTAGTAACAAAAATAAAACAGAATATCAAGAAATGTGCCAAGGGGCAATGAAACCACACGTGGGCACTTGGAAAACAAGTTTTCATTACATACATACATACATTTTATTTAAACAATACACTTGGCATAAGTAACAATAGATGGCATAAGAGGAAGGGGCATCAGATGTGGAGGGCTCTTGGCCAGACATGAACAGAAGGAGTTCAAGTACCAGAAGGCTAAATAAGAGATGCAGAGAACAGCTACAAGTACCTGGGGGTACCACAAACACATGGCAACAATGAGGAAGAGGCAAGAAGGATAGCATAGCAACATTCAGAGATTCAGACAGGTCCTGAAGTCCCAGCTCAATGGCAAGAACAAGGTCCAAGCCATCAACACATATGCCCTATTGGTCATCAGGTACCCAGCTGGAGTAATAACCTGGCCAAGAGAAGAACTGGCAGCCATGGATGTCAAGACTCAGAAACTACTTACTATGAATGGAGGATTCCACCCAAAATCCAGCACCCAGAGACTGCACACTACCCAGAAGGAAGGAAGTCATCCAGGCCTCAGTCCTGGATGAAACACGGAGCATCCACAAGTACAGCAACAAGATGGCCTCCAAAGATGAACTACTAAGGGAATACCTTAGACTTCAACAGATAGAGAATGCAGAAAAGGAGGAGGTTCAATGGAAAGACAAACCTCTCCATGGGGTGCAACATGGGCAGATAGTAGGTGTGGCTAACGTGAAAAAATCCTAACAGTGTTTTGAAAAGGCAGGAGTTTAAAGACAGCCCTAATCCTAGCAGCACAGGAGCAGGCACTCAGCACCAGATCAATAGAAGCGGGGGTCTACCACACCAGTCAAGACCCAAGGTGAAGACTGTGAAAAGAGGCCTCTGAAACAATACAGCACTGTCATGGAGTGATGGGTCCAACAAGCAAAGTTACGTAAAGCAAATATAAAAAAAAAAGAAGGCATATTACCGGACCTTAGAATGGCTGAACTGAACGCTAAATAGAATGATACAATACAAGCCAAGGTTAGGGATAACAGGAATCAGAATAAACATTAGAATCGCCAGAGGTCAAGGACAATCACAAGATAGAGTAGTCAAGGAAATGCCAAGGTAAATAAGCCAGAAGATACTAGAATAAGAAACGTGCTCTTGGATAGACCAAACCAATGGAAATCATGACAGGGCATCTAAGAAAAGGTGTTCAAAGAGCCTTAGGAGGGCTCTAAGGGGTTGATTGAACCTGGTGGCACCAAAACATGCCAACAGTGTCATAAATGGAGGCGACGCCTTTAAATTGCGAGTCTGTGGAAGCGGCCGCCGTTCGTCGGAACACCAGTGCGACCACTAGCTGTGTAGCATAGAGAGGGGAGGGAGATCTGGCATGAGATAAGTATTTCTTTGTTATCGTTAGTGTGTCCACACCGATCGGGTGCCATGTGACAAGCACATAGTGGCTGGTTGCAAGATGTTAGCAGGAACAGCATACACTGAGAGATACAACCAAGTTGCTGGGATTGTGTACTGAAACATCTGCTCAGAAGTCCATATGGGAGATACCACCAAGGGTAGCTGAGAATGACAGGACTAAGATTCTGTGGAACTTCCAGATCCAGACAGACAAACAACTACTGTCCAACCAACCTGACATCGTGGTGGCAGACAAGGAAGCGAAGACTGCAGTCATGGTGGATGTGGCAATACCCAATAACTACAACATCAAGTACAAGGAACATGATAAGATGTACAAATCCTAAGGATTGAAAGAGGTGCTAGAAAGGATGTGGAAAGTGAAGGCATTGGTTGTTCCAGTAGTGATAAAAGCACTCGGGTGCTCTGATTCCCAAGTTGGGGGAGTGACTTCAACAGATTCCAGGTGGGACATCGAACTCTAAACAGTTGTAAGAACTGTGAAGAACTCTTAGATCATGCTACAATGACAAACATAGCAGCATTAAGTGTGCTGTTTAACAATACATCCAATATATTATACATGCTTATTATTCTGCTAAGATTTAAATCTGGTCTGATAAGCTTTGGTTCAAATTAGGTTTAAGGTATAGTTAATGTGACTTGAGTGGAAGGATGATACAACCATCTTATATAAATTATTAAATTATAAATACAGAATATCACCAATCTCCCCCACGCTCTCTCCACTGATACCACAATGACATTTTATCTGGAGCAGACATGGTGATGCATCTTTCCAGCGAGAATGTTCTATTATTGGTCATTTCAGATCATTCAGAAGAAAAAGTATGGGCCCCTTTGGAAATCCACTTTGGGAAACTACAGTCTGGTGAGTGTGGCCAGCCCAAAGATTTTGGAGTCACTGCTGAGACAAGAAGGGAAGTACCCTATGAGGAATGACATGTTTCTATGGAAAACACATCGGGATATGGGAGGCCACGTGTATGGACCTCTAACAGAGTGAGTATAAATTGTGACATGATTTGCCCCAAAAAAAGTATAGAGTCTTCCATGGGACAGAATTTGTCTTTCAGTATTCCAAAGCTGGTGACCATCGTGAGTAGGACCTCTCGGCATGGGGCATATCTCTTCTAAAAGGATGAGAAGAAGAAGGGGTTAGAGGACAGAGGAGAAGGGAATGGTGTTTTAAGTTACCTAGAAATTATTGTAAACTCCATGTAGGAATACTTCAGGAAATAAAGCAGAGTTGCAAGTGTTTTAAATCTTATTATTATTATTATTATTATTATTATTATTATTATTTTTGACGTTTTTAAACTTTAAGCATACATTAAGTTTTTGCTAGCAGTACACTGATGAAAGGACTGTAATAGCCAATCCCAACCACCACGTAGCAAGGGATTGCAAAACCCATGGGCATCTAATCCATAAATAGACACACTGTCTCCATATCTCTACCTATTAATAATAAATGAGTATGTGTTCGATAACCTACAGTAAAAGGGTAAAAAATAAGATCTAGATATTCTCTTTATCGTCCCATAAAGAGGGGCTCATAAAAAAAAGAAAAGAAATAAAAAATAACAATACAACCATTAAAAAATGATTTTAAAAAAATTGACCAGTCCAAATGAAAATCAGTAGAACAGACAGAATTAATCAACACGTTTAATGTTAGATATATTTATATTATGCATGAGACATAATGACGAGCATTAAGTAATTTGCCTATCTAATCCTAATGTCCTCTTTAACCTATAACCCTCTCGTCTCACAGAGAGGGTCATCGTTGGCAAAAACTGCGGTCTGTGCTAAACCAACGGATGTTAAAACCGAAGGAAGCCGTACTCCATACAAGAAATTTTAATGAGGTGATTTCTGATCTCCTGATAAAGATTAAAGAAATTAGAGCTGAAAGTCCATCAGGAATACTGGTGAAGAACATGACTCACCTACTTTACAGATTTGGCTTTGAAAGTAAGTTAAAGGTTTGTCCTCTTACTTAGATTTACAACTTGGTAGAAATATATTACATTTATATATATATAAATATATACTGTAATGGGACCTTGCTTTCCGGTTAACCCGACCGGTTACCTCCTGTTAGTTCCCTTCCTTCAGCCAATCAGGTACTCTTGCAGGGTTAGGGGGACTTAGCTCTATGCGCTCCCAGGCAGAGACGACACTCAGCTCTGGAAGCTCTTTAGTCCTTACCAGGACTTTTCCCCGTTGCATCCCCTGCAAGCATGAACAGCAGACACAGGGGGTGGAATCTTCCTTCCCCCCAATAACAGGACCACACACAGTTTTGGAGGTTTAAGCACTAGACTCCGCCAGACTGACTCACAATCTTTATTGAACACAGCCTTCGTTTATGCACAGACCCCCACAGGGGGTCTCCATTCCACACAATACACTTCCCTTAGTCCCAGACAGGAGAGGGCCGCCCTGGGAGATACCAAACAGTACACAAGGATACACAGTAAATCATATTACATTCAGGGGGGTTACACTTTGGAGCTCGGCGCCCGTGGAAGGGGTTACAGGGTTAAAACCTACATTGTTAGATAGCCCCAGGTCCCATCTGGGATCCCTGCAAAAAGTAGGGCGATTGGATGTACAGAGCCTGAGCTATCAGTGCCGAAAGTCTGGAGCTTGAGACTCTATACATCCCAGAAACTAGTTCCATGGCGTTGCTTGCGCCTAAACCAAGCAACAACCAATCAGCTGAAAGGGCGTGAACCAAATCGCACCAATCAGCATTCAGGGGAAGAAGTAGTTTTGCCTCCTAATCCGAAGAAAGGGCGTGAAACTCGGCTGCACCAATCAGTGCTCAGGGAGTGGGCGACCAATAAGAGAAGGAGCGCTTACTCGTGCCGTGGACTCGTGGACTTCCATGCGGCCAGTGGGAACTCTGCGGCCGTGAGACCGATTCACAGCTCCAGGGATTCCCTGCTGGCGCGCGTCCTTCTCTCCGGTGGATACCCCCGCTTGGCTGAAAAGTAAACTACAAGGGGAAACACCTATTTAACAAGGGAAAATCATCACAATATACATTGGGGACACAAAATACAAAACCAAGCATCTGAATACTCAGTGGGCATGGCACTTAGTGCCTATGTCCCGCCACATACACAATAATCTAAAAATATATTTTTTGCTAACCAAAGCACGTTCTTTGGTTCATTTAGATCGCTTCCCCCTCACCCCCCCCCATATAAAATAATTAAGAAAAATAATAATAAAATAGATAAATAGAACGTCACCTGTAATCCAGCGTTGGGCACTCTGCACTCAGCAACTTCTCCATCTTCGTCTGAAATTATCAGCATTAGATTGGATCTCTGGTCCAATTTAATACTTCTCATGCATTGGGGACCAATACCATTTGTACAGCCCTCTACCAATCACATGCTTCTCTATGAGAAACAGCCAAACATCCAGCAATTTTTAAAGGTCTTCAAGAAGTGCAATGGGCAACATTAAAATATTATGCTTTAAAAACAATAAAAATGTAATAAAAAAGAAAAATTGCAATTTTTGTTGCCAGGTGTGTGCACGGTCTTATTTGAAACCAGACTTGGATGTCTCCAAAAAGAGGTCCCACCAGAGGTTAAAAAGTTTATAAATTCTGTTGACATTATGTTCAAAACTCAAGTGATACTAGAAAGATGTCCCAGGTGGTCGTTCAACATTCTTCCCTATTGGAAAAGACATAAGGATGCATGGGAAACACTCTTCACTTATGGTAAGTGAACCATTACTTCTGCTGAGAAAATAGAAACCATCTTCCTGGGCAAACTGCGATCAGATTTGGTGTGTCAAAGTTAAAGGACAACTTGTAGGTCACCTCAAAACAGGTTTTTGGGGAATTGTTTTTGTTTTTTTAGTATATGACAGTAACCTTCATATAGATGTACCTTGGGTCAGTCGATACTTAAAAACCAGAAGTTCGTCTCTATGGTTTTTCCTGCTTTACTCACTCCACAGAAACAGGGAAGATTATAGAGACTAACTGTCCACTTTCAAACACTGTCCATAAAAAAATCTATTTCCTTTTAAAACTTGATGAAATAATTTTTATATTAAAAAATAGTTTTGAGGTGACAGTTCTTCTTTCAAGAATCTAAACTAGACAGTGAACCTGTTATTAATCTTCAATCAGCTGGTTCCACCTTAGTTCTCGCACACTGGGGGTTAGGTATACAAAGTGTCGAGCCACTATACAGGTATGATTTATAATTTTCCATCTGAATCACTTTCCAGGTGGTTAAAACCCTTTCCCTACTGTTATACATTGGTACATGGTGGTTTTTAATCGCTTGCTCTGCCTTTGTATTTTTAGCAAAGTATTTGATTGATATGAAGATGGAAGACATTGAGAATCGATTGCAAAAAGGAGAGACGGTAGAAGGGGAATATCTGACGTACCTGCTGTCCAGTGGCAAGCTGACTATAAAGGAGGTGTATGGAAGCATGCCAGAGATTCTACAAGCTGGGGTTGACACAGTATGATCTAGATTCTATATACAAACCACAAGTTTAATAATTAGAGATATTCCAAACTGTATGATAGAGAGTCCATGTGGAACCCACAGAAAGAAACTACATAATGTTTTAGCAATGCCACAAGCAATTATATACAGCAAGATGTAGTGTTCCGACAGAACACAGTGAGAATCTTTGTATCTTTGTCCAAGAGCTCTGCCAAGTAGGGGTCTCTGCTGTATGACGAATACTGAACATGATCGAGAAAACTTCATATCATTCAATATACCAGGCAACAGTTAAAAACCTTAGCCTTTAGGGGTGTCATAACTGCCATACTATTACTAATGACTTAAAATCCATTGCTGTACTCTTGGATAATGGATTATTTATGAAAAACAAACAAAATCTATTAAAACTATTTCATATCACAACTCTTACAAACATGCAGATACACAGACATACAGATACACACACAAACATATTTACAGATACAGACACACAGAAACACACATACAAACACATTCCAGTTTCCTACCTTTTAGGTGCTGCAGGGGGGCTTCTGCTGTGAGGCTGTTGGGAGTTACGGGCTTGCTCTACCAGTCCGCCCCACTTCCTCTCCCTCCGGCGCAGCTTGTTCTGTTAGCTGGGAAGTAGTGACTGGTTCTCACTTACTCCCAGAGCTGAAATATTACAGGAGTCCAGTCATGCTGTTAAACGCCCCAGCACAAAACCCAAAGTAATCATGTGGCTCTAAATGCATGGGCCACCCGACAGGGCCCCTCAGCGTATGGCCCCGGAGCAGCTGCACTAACTGCACCGATGGTAGTCCCACCGCTGATCAGTAGTCATTGCACTGGTTCCTCTTTTCTGATGCAGATTCTTTCAATAACCTGGACAGATGCTACCAGGGTTATTCACTAAGGAGCGAATTGCTGAGACTTTAAACTTTCTTTACATACTCCGTAGCAGCAGTGAACATAGAAACAAAGAACCAATCAGAGACAAGTATAGAATATAGCAGGCACCTCAAACTCAGGCACTTCCTCTAAACAAAGCGACATCACAAGTCCCATATGAAACAAAACAAAATATTTCAATAATCAGAAGACAACATCCATTCAGGATCCTTTAAAACGAAGAAAACTGCTGTAGGCACACAGATGAATTAAACGAAGAAAAACTAGGGCAGGTCCACGGAAGGAAATGTCCGTTGAGTTAAAGCGACACTGTCATGCCTAACTTACCTTTCCCCCAATCGATTCCTCTTTTCTCCCTCTCTCAGGATCCGTTCTTCTTTTCTTCCTGTTTGCTCTAGTTTTATTTAAAACATAAGACAAACTAGGGACTATTTTGTCTCATGTATTTTTCCTACCCTTGCCCAGCTTTGACCCAGGGGAGAAGCAAAGTCCGCTCCGTTTCCTGTGGTCAAAGCAATTTTCCCACAATTCTCACCTTCCTCCGGCTGCTTCATTTGGCGTTTGAACGCCGGTGAAACTACCGAATTTCGTCCTAACAGAATGAGAACAGTTTGTCCATTCATGTTAGGATGAAATTCTGGACTTTTGTTCGGATCGGAATTTCATTCAAATGAATAAAACACCAATCCTGTTCGTGCCGTGAGTAGATAGCTCCCTGATTTTCAGAATTGCCAAAAATGGCCTGACCATTCCACGCTTGCATACATTCAAGAGATTATCGGAGTTCCTGATGAACTTCTTCTGTCACCGAAACCAGTTGATTGTATATGGCAGTGTTTCCCAACCCAGTCCTCAAGGCACACCTACCAGTCCAGGATTTAGGGATTACCCAGTTGTGTCTAAGGTGTTTTTACAAAGAAGAAAAAAAACACATTAGACATAACTGGGTAATCCCTAAACCCTGGACTGGTAGGTGTGCCTTGAGGACTGGGTTGGGAAACACTGGTATATGGGGTTCTTCCAGAGAAAGTGGGCTTACAGGCACTGCATGGCCCAATAGTGTAGCAGACCCGGGGAATATCACTTGAATGGATGAGGATAGTAGACCCAAGGTGTCTGCGTGGAATCGATTCCCAACGGAGCACCTTGTGAATTTCTTTGTGAATCACAGAGACCTTCAACAAGGGTAATCACAGTGTACAAGACTGTGAGTTGATGTTGAACACCAGTCTGAGTGGGAACCAATGCAGATTTGGTCTGATTGACTATAAATTCCAGGATTTCCAAAAACTCCACGATGTAATTTGTGTGGGCCACCAGCAATTTTTGGACATGGCAAAAGAGCAGTATGTAGTCCAAGTATAATATGCAAAAAATTGACTTTGTCCGGAGATGGGTTATTACCAGTCTCAGAACCTTTGTAAAGCACCACAGTAGTGAACTGAGCCCGAATGGGAGGCAAGTGAATAGCCAAGGGGCCCAGTACCATAGGAAATGTAGAAAAGGGTCTACATCTATCCTGAAAGGATAGATCCAAATTCCCCAGGGCAGAAATAAAAGGCATTCGGTGGCAAATGAAGCCACAGGCGAACGGCGAATTACGCCACAAACGAGTTGGCCATTTGCAGTCAAATCTATTAAACCCAGTGGGCAAAACAAACACACTTTGAACGTGCACAACAGTGTTCGGTGCACGAATAGAGAGACAAAGAGGCACACATGCATGAGGCAACCTACTCACAAATCCACAAATTCTGAGGCACTTTGTTGGCGCTTTGTGCTGCCAAATAAGTGATTGTGAATGTGTGCTCCAGCGTGGCGAGTGTAGCCACATGGAATCAGGGGCCACTAGAAGTTCCTGGCTTGCGTACAAGTGCTGGGAATGGAGGGTAAAGGGGTTGGGGAGGGATGGGAGAGAGGAAAAACTGGCAAAAGACAGGCAAAATAAGCAGGGAAACCCAACCAGGATCCGGGAATGGGATAGCCCTGCAAGCAGCCCTAGGAACCCACAAATAACCAAGACAGACGATTTAGAGTTGCAATGATAAAACAGTAGGCATACAATACAGAATCAATGATCAAATCTATAAAAAGTGCAATGTCAATGAAAATAGTGAGAACACAATACTGTGCCCTGACTTGTGATGGAGCAGCAAAGAAAGAGGAAGTGCCTCAGCTTGAGGTGAATGTTATAAACTATACTTGTCTCTGATTGGTTCTTTGTTTCTATGTTTTTTGCTGCTATGGAGTAAGTAAAGAAAGTTTATGCAAAATGTAAAGCCTCTTGTCACGTGGTCAAATTCATCCTTTAGTAAATAATCCTGTATTGTGTATCTTTCTGTATCTCCCATTTCCTTAGACGTCGAACACCATGACGTGGGCTTTGTATCAACTGTCAAAGAATCAAGACATTCAGGAATTGCTGTATCAGGAGGTGATCGGGGTTATCCCTTCTGAGTCTATTCCAACTGCAGACGATATCAACCAGATGCCGCTACTGAAGGCAGTGATCAAGGAAACCCTGCGGTAAACTATGCAGTTCAACTTTAAAAAACTAATTCAACAATAAACCCTCTTTATGTAAATTATGTAGAACTGTCGTGTTTGAAGGAGGAGAAAGAGGAAATACAATTATTATCACCTGGAAAGGGTGCCAGGTTCACTTTAAGAGATAACAGCTCCTAACACAATGAAAATATTATCCATCAGAAAGATAAATGATATATTAGAACATTTGAGGAGCAACTATGCCTCACTTCCTCTATAGTGCTGCTGTTACTACCTCGAAAATAGAAAATTTTTCACTGCAGTGTCTCTTTAAAGGACCACTATAGTGCCAGGAAAACATACTCGTTTTCCTGGCACTATAGTGCCCTGAGGGTGCCCCCACCCTCAGGGACCCCCTCCCGCCCGGCTCTGGAAAGGGGAAAGGGGTAAAAACTTACCTTTTTCCAGCGCTGGGCGGGGAGCTCTCTGCCTCCTCTCCTCCTCCCATCCTCCTCCTGGGCTGAATGCGCACGCGCGGCAAGAGCTGCGCGCGCATTCAGCCCGTCGCATAGGAAAGCATTTACAATGCTTTCCTATGGACGCTTGCGTGCTCTCACTGTGAAAATCACAGTGAGAAGCACGCAAGCGCCTCTAGTGGCTGTCAATGAGACAGCCACTAGAGGATTAGGGGAAGGCTTAACCCATTGATAAACATAGCAGTTTCTCTGAAACTGCTATGTTTATAAAAAAAAATGGGTTAACCCTAGCTGGACCTGGCACCCAGACCACTTCATTAAGTTGAAGTGGTCTGGGTGCCTAGAGTGGTCCTTTAATTTGCTCAGCGTTTTTAGATGGCCTGCATTCCAGCTTGTATAGGAATAAGAGGAGCGAGATAGAATTATCAAACAGGTTCATATAGACAAACAATCTGACAGAAGACAGGTAGTGTGACCTGTATTATCTGTGGAATGTTTTACATTATACGGTTTAGAACATTCAGTAAAATAGCAAAAAGGGAAATCAATAAAAATATTATTATTTTTTTTGTCTTTATTAATTTCTATTATCTAGCATGTACCCCGTGGTCCCAGAAAATGGACGAGTTGCTGTAGAGAATGAAGTGGTTCTACAAGATTATATTTTCCCAAGAAATGTAAGTCTCATTTTTGCGTCATTTTGAGTTTATTGAGCAGCCAGATGGAGAATCCAGTTGAACTGTTTGCTGCGAGTAGTATTTAGAGGATTTTATTAAAGTAGACATGTCCTGTATTAAGGAAACCACGATTAGTCAGTCTGTGTTTTTATTATGGCCTGAGGGATATATGACGATAACAGTACAGGCAGCAAAAAGAAACCACACTTTAAATATTAGTATGTGACTTCAGCAGGTACACTGATAACATTAATGTATATTGGGCAGATAGCAAATAGCTTAGTCCAGTGTAGGAATTAGGCTCAGATTAATCGGACTGCTTAAAATCTTATCTGTTTGGCGTAGATAATATAACACTGACTAATAGTCAGACATACTGGGATTGGTATGAAAATTGGAAAGAAAACATTTTATTAAAAGATAGAGATAACTGTGTCATGCTGAGCCGTAAGCATAGAGACTGTCCCGTTGAACTATTTGACTCCTAGTCAGGAGAGAAATTGGTACCAAGTAATATGCTAGCTGGCCAGAACTCCTTGTCCCTCTGTAAACAGATTCAAAACTTCCAGGGACTCCAAAGTAAGCGCCAACCAGCCTCCATGTCTGCTTGCAAGCAAAAGAACATGCTTCCCATTCAGGGTTCTCCGGGCACCGTGATCTATCCAAGATTTATTGCTAAATGCAGGCCATGGTCTGCCTGAGATATTTTATCAATCCATATTTAACAATCCATATTTGCAAATGCACAGAGTTATTTACTAATTCACTAATTTGAGTTCAAAGTGAATTTGAATTTTTAACACAAAATAGCTGAACTTAAAACATAACGGATTTGGAGAAAATAAACATTTTATGTGTCCTAAAATTTAACCCCTTAAGGACCAAACTTCTGGAATAAAAGGGAATCATGACATGTCACACATGTCATGTGTCCTTAAGGGGTTAAAGGACCACTATAGTGCCAGGAAAACATACTCGTCTTTCTGGCACTATAGTGCCCTGAGGGTGCCCCCACCCTCAGGGACCCCCTCCCGCCCGGCTCTGGAAAGGGGTAAAACTTACCTTTTTCCACCGCTGGGCGGAGAGCTCTCCTCCTCCGATCCTCCTCTTCTCCTCCCGTCGGCTGTATGCGCACGCGCGGCAAGAGCTGTGCGCGCATTCAGCCGGTCACATAGGAAAGCATTCATAATGCTTTCCTATGGACGCTGGCGTGCTCTCACTGTGAAAATCACAGTGAGAAGCACGCAAGCGCCTCTAGTGGCTGTCAATGAGACAGCCACTAGAGGATTAGGGGAAGGCTTAACCCATTCATAAACATAGCAGTTTCTCTGAAACTGCTATGTTTATAAAAAATGGTTAACCCTAGAAGGACCTGGCACCAGACCACTTCATTAAGCTGAAGTGGTTTGGTTGCCTAGAGTGGTCCTTTAAAATTCACTTTGGATTTCCAACAATTTGATGAATAACTGAGTGAATTGTAGTTGGTTAACATGAGTTGCCAAATGGTGCACAATTAAGGCAAAACTAGCAGAGCAGGATAAAATAAGAATTGAAGAATTTATCCAGTTTGACTACATTTGTCTGAATTTTTAATTGGTAAAATATGTCATCTACCCTCAGCTTACCAGCTAGTGAAGAAATATCTGTCACTACATTTTAATCTAACTTATGAGGCTATCACTTGGATGTATTCTTGATTCTAAAATGGGTGGTATCAAAATAATGCTGAAAATTATTTGTATAATCTAATCGTACCTGCCAATAGTCTCAAGTTCATCAGGGCAGTCCTGATGTGGGGCTCCTGTCTCACTAGCCCAGGTTTGTTCCCTTATGTTCAACTTCTAAGGATACCAAAGAAATGTTTCTTATAGTCATTGGACTCTCCTGCACTGTGCAAACTGTATGAATGAACCTTTTTGATATTAGTTTAAATGTACGGTTTTGCCCAGCTATGTATCTCTTATTGCACACATTGAAGATCACCTTAAAGTAACTGCCTGGGTACTAATCTGTTTTCCAGTGTTACTCAGTCTTACAGATTCGCTGAAACTTAATTTCTAAAGAGTTTGTTCACTAAATGCCAAATTGTACCAAACTAAAATCCAAACTGCAAAATCAATGCTAAAATAGCTAAAGAGGAAGAACTATCTATCCTGCTATAATCACAGTTTAGCTATCTAGCCTTATTCCAGCAGTTTACCGTATATGATCCCATAGTTAATTTAGCCCGGGGACGTAAACTAACAAGAATAGAATCTTGCTGTCTGCATTGTATTCACGCTAGTAATTCCACATTTACGTTAATCCTGTTTCTGTTCTCTCAGACTCAGTTTGTCCTGTGCCATTATGCAATCTCACGGGACGAGACTAACTTCCCTGATCCGGACAGATTTATACCACAACGATGGCTGAGGGATGAAGGGATAAAACACCACGCTTTCGGCTCAATTCCTTTTGGATACGGGGTCCGATCCTGCCTTGGGCGACGTATTGCCGAACTGGAGATGCACCTAGCATTGTCACGAGTAATAAATGAATGGGGTTATTCTTTAACTGTGCCTTGATCAAACAATTTATTTATTCTGTAACAATGCTATAAATCATGCAAGGGTTTATTCACTAAACAGCAACGGTAGTGAAATGCAACATTTACGCAAAAAACTGCTGATTTTGGGGGAAAATCTGCAAGTCAGGTATAGTCTCAGTTACAAAACGGGTACATCTCCACTAAGGGGCTCCTGTTTTCAGCTCTTATAATCTGCCTTTCTGGAGCCTAATTGGGTTGGTGGGTTGATAAGTATCAGGAGCCTTGGCCAGTGTTTATATTACTTTTAATTTTGGGGGCAGGTGGGAGGGAGAATTTTAGCCTTAAGTTTGAAAATCTGTTTACAATTTATTGTTAAAACATTTTAAGCAAAAACAGAAATTTTTTACATTACTAATTTAGGACTCGATTTAATATATTCGCATAAGTCTTTTAACGGATTACAATTTTCCCATAGACTTTAATAGTGACCTCTGTAAACATTGTTCTGCACTGTGGAATTTGTTGGCGCTATATAAATAACCAATCATTTGAATTTTTTTTGTAAAAGATTGTATTTATTGGAACAGCTTAATCCAAAGAAAATAAAATTGAGGACTTTTCTATTTTGGCCTAAATATTTTAAATTCCCTTGAAGCTTCTTCACATTTCCCAGTTTAACGAATAAACCTGTATTTTCGGTGTGAGAGATCACTTGTTCCACCCGGTCTGCACATTGATTGAGTTTATACTTTTATTTACTGTATTACCAGCCACTTGGTAAATATACATCAGCTCTGCAAATGCTTGGTTTTTATTTTAGATTTCACCGTTTGTATTTAGAAAAACACAGAAATTCTACTTACCGTAATTTTTTTATTTTTTTATTATTAAAGTCAGTACACTTGAGTATTTGCCCTATACTGGGCAGGAAACAGCAAAGCAAATGCTTAAAAAATGTAATAAATAATCAATCCACTCTATTCCCTCCCACAACCTTTAGATCAACAAAGCACGGAGAGTCCAAGGTATGTCAGTGTTGCACCTGCATTTCCCAGAATGCCTCGACATTGCCTCAAAAAGTTGTACAAAGGAGGGAAGTCTTTAGAAACTAGAGAAATACCATGTTCGATGCAAGACAGGTTATTAGTATCCTAAAAATGGTTACTAGAACAAATGATCTCAGAGACCTAAAAGAAAAAAAAAAAATATATATATATATATATATATTTTTACGTATTTAAGTACCATGGTACTACGTAGGGATCAAAGAACATTTGTAACCAGATCAATGGTTATTTAAAGGGATATACATATTGGTTTTCCTGGCACTGCAGGACCCTTTATTCCCCCCACCCTCTCACCAGCGCTGGGTCAGGCTCCGCCTACTCTCCTCTCCTGCCGACATCAGCCGGCGGGGAGACCTAATGCGCATGCGCGGCAATGCCACGCATGCGCATTAGGCCTCCCCATAGGAAGCATTTTTCATTGCTTTCCTATGGGGATTTTGGCGACGCTGAGGTTCTCACATAGCGTGAGGATGTCCAGCATCGTATAACACTCTTTTCGTGTTCTAAGAACACAGAAGTCCCTCTAGTTGCTGTCTGATAAGACAGCTACTAGAGGAGGACTTAACCCTGCAAGGTAATTATTGCAGTTTATGAGAACTGCAACAATTACACTTGCAGGGTTAAGGGTAGTGGCACCCAGACCACTCCAATAGGCAGAAGTGGTCTGGGTGCCTGGGATGTCCCTTTAAAAAGGTTATCACTTTAAATTTTATTCACAAAAGAAATAATTTAATTTACTACTGGTCAAAATGTAGATCTCCACATCTTTTACAGCTTCAACTCCCACAATGCCTTGCCACCTTTAAGTCTGGGATTATTATTTTATTATTTATATAGTGCCAGCAAATTCCATAGTGCTGTACAATGGTTGGACGAACAGACACGTAATTGTAACCAGAAAGATGGACGCACAGGAACAGAGTGGTTGAGGGTCCTGCTCTATGAGCTTACATGTTAGAGGGAGTGGGGTATAGTGACACAAAGGTATAAGGAGGGGTAATGAAATCAGTTGCTAGAAAAGTTATCACTGAGAACTTAGGTTATTTTTGACAGTTGCAGGAGAGGCTACCAGTTTAAATTATCCTTGTTTAGTGCAAAGCATGAATAATATCAAATTGCAGACTAGGTCATTCTCACTGGCTAATGGGAAAGAATAGGACATGCTGATGAATGTGCTATATGGAAAACAGAAAATGTACAGCCTATAGTAAAATATTAAATAAAGTTGTCATTTAAAAACCAGTTTACAAAATATATGCATGAATAGCGGATTTTGATAAATTCTCAATTTTGGTATTTTAGCTTAAATTGTCTAGATCAGTTTCCTACAATGTGGTGTTCTCTAACACTGTCTCAATATTTGCTTGTCTAACTCTTTAGATAATAAAAATGTTTCGAGTACACCCTGACCCGGACATGGGAGAAGTAAGAGCCCTTAACCGTGTAACTATGGTACCTGATCGACCAGTCAACCTCCAGTTAATTGAGCGGCATCAATAAAAAGCCACAGATAACATGTTCATTCTGTAAGAGAACCTCGAACATTATCTACGAAAAGCTTTAACAATTGGACAGTCTGCAAGGAGACCTACAACTGCCATCTCTCCATGTGACCAACATGGTTTACTTCCTTCCATCAGATCATTTGTCTTAGTAACCTACATCTCAATCTACGATGAATACCATTTTCTTGTGGTGTTTTTTTTCCATAATGTTCCTGGCTGGCTAATGTCAATTCAGTGCAAAATTGACATCTGACAACAGCACACACTGCCAGACAGCCAATGCCAGCACTGCCCTCCACACTGTCCGTAGCAACCCAGTCCTCCCTGACATCCCTCCCACTTAGGCAAAGGGGAGTGATGTCAGCTGAGGATGAGGTTAAGGGAAAACTTGGCCTTGGCGAGGAAAAAAAAATAAGCCCTTTTCTTTTTTTCTTTAAACCAAAGGGGCATCACACTGATTTTTGGTTGGAGTAAACTTAAAGTTATAATATCCACTTCCCTTTACTGTAAAAACACATTGAGGGCTTTTGGTTAATTGCCCCACTCCGGTGTTAGCTGCTGTGTTCCCTGAGTATTCTAAAGACAGCGGGCTGTATGACTGTTTGGATCACTGACATCAATTCCACTGTTTGTGATCTGAAAAAAAAAAGCTAATTCTCTTTTATTTAAAAATAAATGGTCCTTCTCATTTTGTAATTTATGTAATTTTAAAAATACATCTTTACGATTTATTTTATGATAACCCCATTTCCCCCCTCCCGTCAAAAATTAGGCTGCATGGGCAGACGAGAGAGAGAGAGAAGATATTAATAGATAGATATACACACATCTTAAGTGGAAATTGATAACAATTAGTCAGTAATAAATATTATTAAACAATGAACAACAGTCAACAGTGTATACAAAAAATAAATGATACAATATGACACAAAGTGACATTAAAATCAACAGCTTTCATTTACAATTTTTTGTGTCATATTGTATCAGTTAATTTTTGTATACACTGTTGATGAATGTTTAATGTTATTTATGGAACATTATTGCTAATCAATTTGACCTTACGGTATATACACACTGTGATTGGTATGTGGTGTTAGCTTGACAGGTCGAAACGTTGCTGCTCTAATACTTTGATCCAATAAATCTGCCTGTGGCTTGAATACTCTGAGTGCCTGGAGATTTTTATTTCTACTGTTATATCATTGTTGGATTTGCTGGTCCTGTTTCAGTGCACCTGGAGTCGACTGGAATTGAGTGCTGTTCCCTTTGATTTTAATAACACTGTATTCTAGGGCACAACCACACAGTTACATTGCAATAGTCCTGTACAAATGAGGGTTCAGCACATAATCCTAATATTTCTCACCTTTTACTCAACAATGATGGCTGTTGTGTCAATAAATTGTTTATTCACTAAGTAGTAAATTTTATACTGAAATAGCAAACTCTGCTTTTTGGCCTGCATATTGCAATTACAGGTTTCAACTCATTAAAATATGATGTTTAGTTACCAAACATTAGTCAATATATAATAGCTTCTACGAGTAATGTAAGCAGAAGAGGTTTGTCTTTTTTGTAAGAGGTGAGGTTTCTGGTCTCATTATAAGCCTCCCAACTATAAATACAAAGTCAGCACAAACTCGCTACAGTGTGTAAGTTAGCACAGTAGTAATTCCCATTGTGTCACAGGAGTGGTGACTTTAAAATATAATCCTGCATGTGATACATGGCACAGATCAGAATGTTTTGAACAGTCATGTTCTATATGAAACAATTGTGGAAGTCTCAGCACAAAGCCGAACACAACTTCTGGACTGGACAATGAGATTCCACAAACAGAGCAAAATTCAGTTTAAAAAGAAACAAAGTTTTATGTTCACAAGATGAAACTATCAATCTATAATTTAAACCTCATTATGAGGCGCCAAATATGAATAATCAACGTCAACAAGTCTCCTTTTGAGCTGCACACAGGAATCTCTTCTTTTGTGACTGGCGTTGAGGTGACGCCCATGTCGCAATGTGATGTATTTACAGACTGTGTGAAGAGACAGATCCATTACAAGCCGTGTATCACACAGTCACACAGCCAATGTTCTCGATTGCACCTTCAGGGTCTGTTTTATACATCATGAAGTGTCCTTGAACCTGTGCAGCACTGAGTTTGTCCGTGTGGGAGAAAGCTGCTTTAGCAAATTGCTCTCCTGTAGTAAGTGTCTGGTCCGGGTAGAAACGGAGGAACATTTGTGTGAGCTGCCAGTGAGTGCAGTGTCCCACATACTGCTTGAAATCAACACGCCCTGGGCGGATCAGCGCTGGATCTAATCTGGAATTAAATCAATGGACAGGCAATGTTTGCAATGCAATCTTTCTTTTTAACAAGATCATTAGCTTCTTTAAAACTTTCACAAACATTTAGATGCTTCCATGTATCTGAGATTTGTACGCGAGTGTGATGTTCTAACAAGGGAAAACAAAGTAACTGTCTAACTTAAAGCAGCTTTGTCAGCTAAAGAAAAAAAACAAAACATTTGAGCGTTTCATAAGGATATAATAGTTAATTAAATGCTCATAAAAAGACTGGGTTGAAATTTCATTGAAAATCCAAGGCAGTCAAAAGGAACTACTTTGTCTCATGGTAAATCCCTGAGCTGCCAAAAAGCATAGCTATTGCTGTCAAGTACTGCAACTTCCCCTGGCCATAACTAGCGATGGTTGTGGGAATAAAGCATTATCTTGCTCATTGTGAGACAATATCTATGGAGGCTTCCATTGTCTCGCAGGAGTCTCCCCAGATATTAGTGTTGTCCACGTGCGAGATTACAGCACTAACATTGAATCCTGACGGATGAAGCACCAGAACAAGCAGCAAAATATGCAAAGACGCCAGAAGGTGACAGAGCCAGCCTGATACAAGCTATAATGAAAATCTATAAATAAGAGCAGTCCAGGGGCATTGTTTTAAAATTGGAGCAATCACCATGACAACCAATGAAATATTGTTACTCCCACTTTAGTACATTACCCCACAATTGTGCTTTATGCAGAACCAGCAAAGTAGCCATTGCATTGTTCTCTCTGTGTTACCTGTCTATGTGATTGGTTGTCATGAACACTATCCGAGCCTCTGTGGAAGCTACGCCATCCAACGCATTTAGGAGGCCGCTGAATGTCAAACGCCCCATTCCCTGGTATACTCCTGGATCTAGAGTAAGGAAATGAGGGGAAAATCCACATTAATGTCACAGCTGATAATAATAATTAAAAGGTATATAGACTATTCTGGAATGCCACGACAGCTATACCTAATGTTAGAGAAGGCAAAGGCAGATCAATGGGAGGATATGACAGATATAAAATATATATAAACTCATTATTTTTTCGCTAAATAGATCAATTTAAATATATACATTAACTTGATATCACAGTGAGGGAATAAACAGAGTGAATGAGCAGTCTTGGCTGTTAACCGCTGACACTGTAAGATACTAACTCTGTTTGGCCAGGTCGCGGCTGACGAATGCGGCATCCACATCTTCCAGAAGGATGATGCTCTGTTGTGGGGCCACACTCAAGAGGTGATTGAGACGGTCGTCTGAGAGGCTGTTGTCACTGAGGCTCATCAGGCATATACTATACTCCAGCTCTCCAGCAATGGCAGTGCTGGGGGATGTAAGGGACAAGGTGAAGCAGCAGGTAATTTACATAACTGCAGGCAGATCGTCATATGCTACATGCTACACTTCTATAAACTACACGTGGTGGATTCTCAGCCCTTTAACATATGTATCCAGTAAGGGAAATCATACAGTATGTGAGTTTAAAGAAATAAAGAGGGAAAAAAACACATCGACTCAAATCTGCTATAGCCACAGGTACTTTACAATTTACACTAAATGCAGCCATTTTTCACATAGATTTTTATCTATGCAGCTCTACAAAGTAATGCAGTGATCCCTCTGAGGTGAATGAACCATGACGTAAGAAACACACTATAAAACACCCGGCACTTTGTATACAGACAGTGCATGGAGCACTAATTATATGGAGACCTCCATATTGATTCCATTATAGTTTGGCCACCTTAAAGGAAGAACTAATATTCAGCAGTAAAATTGTGCATTTTTTAAATGGGCGTTAATATATAATTTATTCTAAAGTGAAGATATACATTAGAATAACAAGAATTGTTAAGAAGCTCACCCCTTTTTAATATGCATTGTAATTAATAATCCCACTTACATAAAACTGCTTTTCCCACACCCTGGAGGTCCGTAAAGCAGGTAGCCTCTTCTGTAAGGGATACCTATGTGTGATGAATAAAGCCTGTGAAGTTTACACTAAATACCGATGGTTTCATAGCTCAAGGATACAAATCAGATTAAATGTCATTCAATCTACATCAGGGCAACAACAGTTAAACTGGAATTAGGCCAACTACATTTTTTTTTATTTGGTTATTTTGAAAAAAACAAAACATTTTTTTTTTTTAAAGTTTTTGAATTCCTGACAATTCACTTAAGAGGTGAGGCCCAGGAGGGCCAGAAGATCTGTTTTGGGATTCAGTAACTTTCGATCGAGTGATGGGCTGCCCTTGTGAGTGAAAAAGGTCTTAAAAACAAACAAATGATAGGATAGCGACATAATCGAACTACAACTGGTTAGATATCCGAGTGGGAATTGATGGACAAGCAATTATATTTTTGTCTATGCTTCATGTTTATGTTGGACTAGGTTTTGGAAAAGTAATGGGTTTAGTCAATAGAATTTTAATTGTAACCAATTAAACTTAAAAAGGTGGAAAACTTATGGAAGAATTACTGTTCTGGAAAATTTCTCCAACTCAGCTTGGCTATTTTAGCGAAATTCTGAATTTAGTGAATATGCTCCTACGTTAATTTCCATGAAATGCCCAAATGGTGGCTTTTCCTATGCAAAGCATTAGTAACAGCTAAATGATGCACTGGATTCAGAAAATGTCTGATATCAAACATGACAAGTCTGGTATTTTAAATAAGTTATTAACTCCTTTAATTTCATAAAATAGGTTTGAATTATGCTATGACAGCGGTGGGAAGAGCATTTATATATAGAAATACTGATTTTCATCACAATGCTTAGGAGGATAAGAATATACATACAGTTGGAGGTGGTCATTATTTGAATGGAGAGACAATTTACCTCGGTCACTGTACCACTTGGGGTGATCAATAAATCCTTTCACATCTTGTAGAATCTTCTCTGAGACACCTTCTTGCAGCACTACGGAACTCAACGGACGTCTGCGCCGTGGGAACCCAAACTGCCGCCATTCTGCTCCCATCGCAGTGTACATAACTGTCTTCCCTTCCTGCTCATGCAGGGCTAACTCCCTTGCTGGAGCCAAACATGATAAAGATATGAAAACATTAATTACTTTATTAAAATGTCTGAATAAGCTTTATAAATGTCAGACTGATAACACCCCCTCCCAGGTCTACAGGCTATTAATAGCTCTACTTTATTATAATAAAAAAAGGTTTAATAACAACAGTTGACCTTAAAACAACTGTAAAACCTCTAGAGTTACCCAGATATAAGTCTTTAATCATTCTGTGTTTACTATAAGCCAATTAACTCTGATAATTTTACCAAATATATTTTTTATAAAAACCACTGGTTTATCATAAAGGAAAGGTTTAAGCATTCTGTTTTCTCAAAAACAATTGTTTAAGCTCTCATATCCAATTTATCTAAATGATAAATGCCCCCTCCTATATCCAAATACAGTTTGAATATCCTTCATGTCGGATTTACCTTCCTGCAGAATGTTAAAGAAAATGTTCCGATTGGTCCCAAAAGCAGTGAATGTGACATTTTCCCAGGGGGTTCCAGTGTGCAGGTCAATCATCTGCTTCTCACGATTTCTCTCAATTCTAATCCATTTCCTCCGGTACCTGGGGATGGTGAGACATAGCTTAATACAAAGGTCTTTGCACAACAGTACTTTATGAGTAGTTTTGGGAGTTCAATGGTCAGATTTCTACTGTAGAAAACTAACCGATAAACTACAAATTCCAGAATCATTTACATAGAGTAGTTAATCGGAGCTTTAGGTATTCACTAACATTATATAATCATCACACTCTGCTACAATATCTCACTTTTTAAATAGAAAACTTAATACATCTTCTCACAGACATGAGACAAGAACGCTGTAGAATATGTTGGGTTTTTTTACATAAAATTAAAAGATACCTTTGGTTTAGATCACTTACCAGATGAAATGGTTACCAGGACTTGGAACAAAGTCAAACTTGGTGCTTATCCTTCCGCTCTCATGCTGTAGATAAGATGTCTCCACACTCAGATGTTGAGTGTGCTTGGCGTGGTGAGATATCCAATTCAGAAGCCACTGGTAGCTCTTGTCTTTGCTTGGCACCTCCAGTGTTATCATATAGTGTCTCCTAAAGGCAACCATACCAACCTGGGCACCTTTACGAGCCAAAGCCAGTGCTGTCCCCACGCCAACCAGGCCAAACCCGGCACCAAAATAGGGATTGTCTTTGAGAGCAGATATAAAATCAGCAAACGGCATTTTTACGCCTGATGGACCTGCTCGAATTAATGTTTCTTCCTATTCTTCATGCTGTGTTTAGGAAATAGAAACAGAAATTATTACATGGTATTGGCTCAGTACAAAGCTGCACCTACTTTAAAGAAATAGTCATCTTATATATAGATGAACTACTGTAAACCTTCGTTTTGGAGAGTCATACAGGTTAGCTGCAAGAAGCAGGCAGATCAAGAGATTCCATGGCCGCACTAGACTTTCTACAAATGTCTTAATTATGGAGATAATGTTTCGATGGTCCTCAAAATACATACATCAAATATTACTCAATTTATTTTTAGCATTTTTTTCCCCTCATGAACAACAACAGCAAAGAGAGCTAAACACACATCTGTATGCGGTAATAATGCATCGTCTGCCTTCTAAAATGGTTATCGCAGGATGTCGACAAACTAGCCACTCGATACCTTTTAGTGCGATAATTATCTAATATGACATTGTTTTCAGACACAGCGCTGGGCAATAAAAATATAAAGGCTAGCCCCAGGCTGAGTATAGGAGCGGTAACTTTATTGGAGAAGCTGATTAGAGTGCAAGCTTTCAGGACCAGCTGAGTCATGTAGAAGATGTGGTCTTTAGCGCTTGCACTCCACTCAGCTAGTGACCTTCACTCTGCACACAGGGAGCCAATGATTGGAATAAATTCATTATTAAACAATACCCTGAGAGACAAGCTGTAAGGAAACTGCCCTAATTACCCCGGCTTTTTACCCCATGTGAAGGACAGACTGCCCGCACCAAGCCTCCACATGTATCTAACCAGGCTCCAGCGACAGCTTCCAGTGCGTTCCACGCCTCAGGCGGAAGCGGAACTCTGCGTTCCAAGCCTCAGCCGCAAGCGGAACGCTGTGTTCCAAGCCTCAGCCGCAAGAGGAACTCTGCGTTCCACGCCTCAGCCGGAAGCGAAACTCTGCGTTCCAAGCCTCAGCCGCAAGCGGAACTCTGTGTTCCAAGCCTCCGTTTCATCCCTGAGCTCTCCGCGTTCCAGTCGAGCCATCGGCCCTGCGTAGCGTAACTTTCCTTCGTGCGTTCCACTCAATACTTCCGGTTGCGTTCCAGTGTGAAGGCGGCTAACGGCGCTGTCCTGCGGGTCTCCGAGATCGACACTGGAAATAATAATAATAATAATAATAAACCGGAATTACTGCGGCCTGACCGCTTCCTGTCTAACTCTGAGCGAACAGCGGCCTCCACTACCTGGTACTGCTGGTTACCTGGGCAACGGCTCTCTATTATTATTATTATTACTAGTATTTATATAGCGCCAGCTTATTATTATTATTATTATTATTACTAGTATTTATATAGCGCCAGCTTATTATTATTATTATTATTATTTGTATTTATATAGTGCCAGTTTATTCCACATCGCTTTACAATAAGAGGGGGAATTAACCAAATGAGACAATAACATAGTGTAACAGAAACAATAATAAGTAGTTACAGTCTATATAGTATACCTAGCTGTTTATATTGCTTATAGAGAGACCCCTGTGTGCAGAACTGAAGGTGAGAATAGAGTGTGGCCTTTAAGGAGATGGCAAGAGACAGGTTTATGAAATAGAAGTTAATCTGGGAGACCATAATATTTCCTGAAAAGATGGGTTTTGAGCAGACATCATTACATATAAAAATGCATTTCAGGGACATGTATAAACACCTTGACACACAGATACACACACTAGCCCATACACTCAGATACACATACTGATATACACAAACACACTCAGATACACACTGGCACATACACACAGATGCATGTCATACTATATATTTGCAGCCACCTTCCTATTGGCTTACTGTTGTGTCCAGAACTGTGGTTTGCTTGGGGTTCTGTTCCTGGCTGGGGCTGATGGCAGTGAGCATGCAGCAGCAGCAGCTCATTTCAGCCTCTCCACTGTCTCCTCCCTCCATTCCTCCAGGGTTGCTCTCTGTGAAGCAGAGAGGAAGTGATCGTCTGTCACTTTCTCCCTGCAGGCTGATTTTACATGGGTCCGGTCAGTTCGTAAAGGGCCCGGGCACCCTACCGGGCCCCTGTTTAGCGATCATTATTGAGCGCAAATCACATATAAAATCCTGGAAATCACACACAATCTGACATACTTTGTATGTTAGATTGTGTGTATGATTTCTGGGATATTGTATGTGATTTGCAGGTGTCAGTGAGTCACATTCAAAAATATTTAAAAGCATACATGTTGTCTTTTGGGGAATATCTACTAAACAGTTATTTATTTTGTATTTGAACAGTGAAGTGTCCCTTTACATCTCTAATCTTTTTCTCACGTTTTTAATATTAGCCATTTCTTACCAAGCATTTGGAATGTGAGGATTTAGATTTGCTGCTCTGGCATAATCTATGTTTGTTTTTGTTGTATTTTTTTAGAAGTTACCATATATGTTGAGGACTGATCATAACAGAGTATGCAATATACAGTCACTGGGAAATGGCAGACGAAGGACTTGAAGGGTCTTGTGTTTGGACTACCAAATCATGTGATCAGCTACTGCTTATCCAGACAGCACCTGACTGTGGGTACCACACAGAACATACAGCTCAGAACGATGCTCTGGAGCAGAATGGTAATGTGCATATTCGCTGCCTGGATGTTGATTTGTCATCCCATGTAAAACAGCTGGCTTTAGATGCACCTGGACATGATTTATTTAAGAAACCTTCAGAAGTGGAATACAATGATCCGGGAGGTAATGCATTCAACAGTTTTCTCTTTCATGTTGTTCAAATGTTGTTTTGTTTTTTTCCTTTTTTGTTAGTAGAATAGAACAGATTATGAGCGTTCAGTAATAAGTGCACTATAAAGGTATTTCAGAATTAGTAACGTGCTACAGACCTTTCTAGGTGCTTATTACTTATTCCCTTCTATGTCAGGGGATTGTGGTTTATGATGTGCCCTCATCCTATGCACACAAAATGGATCAAAATCTGCTTTTATTATTTAAAGGCTCATGCGTATTCTGCAGCATGGCACAGTGGCTGTTAGCAGAATGATCCCCATGAATCCACTTCTGTACACTTCTCAATGACCAGAATGGTAGACCTTCACTCTTCAATTATAACTTAACCCCTTGTAGTCCCATGTCGGAATATATCCGACAAAATAGTTTATATCCTGTGGTCCAAAGTCGGATTGCTCCCTAGAGAGTAGCGCTGATCCTCCGTGCCAGGTGCTGCTGTTATGGGCAAATGCAAATATTACAAGTTTTAGAATGAAATGTTGTATTTCTTAAACTGTGTACTTTGTCTTTAAGAGATATTGCAAACTGACAAGGTGTTAGAAATGGAACATATTGTTTTTCATAACTGTTTCTTTAAGCAATAACCTCAGTGCATAATATGTTTGCGCCATTTTGTCCCAGACGAAATACAATAATGCATAAACAAGCTTCAAGGCTATGCTACGACTCTTTCAGTACACAATATACTGTGGTAACCTTAAGTAGATAAGGATGTCCAGACTTTAAGATGCCATCTTGAACTAAGTCAGGAAAATTTCCATGACGTATGCACCTTTAGTTATGGCCTTGTATGTTTGCCAAATTAAGGGAGGTCCTTAAATGAATAAAGTAAAAGAAGTGTTACTTTTTGCACATTTGAACTACAGTAACTCTAAAATGGAGACACCTAAGGTATAAATAGGTGTACTTTTAAATGTTAAGAAACAGAGGAGAGACTTGGAGACAGACGCTGCTCCATCTTAAAATGACAGAGAGGCTGACATGATGACATGTTCAGAAGGGTATGTTAACCTAGTAATGATATTTGCAAGCATGTAATTTAATCTTATATACTCTGCTATAATGGATTTTATATTTATATTTTTATATAATAAATATCCAAAAGACAATCTTGCTTCCAAGACAATCCTTATTTTATATTGTATTCTCAATTATTTATATATGTTAAATAGAGAATCTCTTACACTATATAAAATTATGGCTAAGATATCTGTATGGTTAGCCCTACTAAGTTCTATGCTTTAAGACATTATAGTGGTAAATAAGGGAACCAGCCACGGTTACACTGCAAAGGTGTGTGTGATGCACACAGACTGGAAGGTTATGGTGCTGGAACACAAGCACAGGTTGCATTCCACCAGGAGATTGCGGAGCTCTGTTCGCAATACGATATCCAATTCCGGTGTAAATTGTTCAATTTAAAAAAATAAATTAGACCTGTTGGAGCTCTTACTGAAAATATATTGTACCGCAAAGAGTTAATACAAATAAAACCAAAATTGTTTCAAAAACTCAGTATCTATTTTTTAGCAAATCTGTTTACCACAATGTCTTTCTGTATATTATGCAACTATAGCCTGTTGTGTACTGTCTTGTGGCACACATGAGTTTCCTTTTTTTTTTTATTTTTTTTTTTGCAATATTATTTTTTTTATGCTTATGTTTACCATCCTCATTTTTCTTTCCTCAGATGTATGTTTATTGTCCCAGGATTTACTTACAGACACTATTACCTCAGAGCCTCCTAACTATTCTCCCAGGAAGGGAAATAGGTCCCAAAGCAGAAACGTTGCCTCCAGTACAGAGAGAATTCTTCAAATCGGAAGATGCCACCAGTCCAGACAGGAAAATCTCATGTGTCCTATTTGTCACCATGAATATAAGTCTCCTAGTGAACTCAAGGAACATTTTAAAAGCCATACATCTCCCCATACAGACTTTAACTGCTGGGTGATCAGTTGTCCCTTTACTACACATAACCGCAAGAACTTCCAGGCTCATCTGAAGCAAGAACACCAATTAACACCTTTTACCTGCTCCCAGCGCACCTGCAAACTTCTATTCCCAAGCCATGATGAAATGTTACTGCATTCCCGCAACCATTTCCCCTTTCACTGTAAACGCTGTGACTTTGTCAGCTCTAACGTAAAAATCTTCACCCAGCACCATAAAACGCACCCCAGGGACGAGGAAACACAGTCTGGCATAGAAACACTGGAGTCAATGCTGAATTCTTCAGATCCAGCTGAAAACCTGGCTCAGAACATGATACAGACAGGTAAGTAAACAAAGTGACAGACACCGCCACCACCACCTCAAAATCTTATGCTACTTATTATTGTTAATTTTTGTTTCCTAAAGGATCATTTTATATTTGTGCATTGATTTGGTTTTAGGTTGCATTCTAAAAGTGTGTTTTAGTTTTATACAGTACACATGTGTGGTTTGTGCTTTTGAGTAGGTACACCTGGTCTCTTAGCAGCAATATTGATTTACTCATTCAATGTCTATTTAAACTACAGCAGTTAATAAGCCAGTGATATGTCATTTTGCTATTATACAAAGTTTAACATAACATCTGCATTTATTATTTTTTTTTAAGATACAGGAGCTAGTCAGGGTTCAGTAGCGGTGGAGAGGCCTAAGAAACAGAGAAAGTCTGCAGTTCTAAGTGGACAGGTTGCAGGAAGCCACAGTGATGGGGAAAGGGAATCTGCTCGAACTGTCAAGAAAAAAGCTACAAAATCCAAAACTGCAGTCTCTGCCAAGACCAAGGAATTTAAAGGTACAGTTATGGGGTGAGAAGTGATGAATTGCATTTAGTACAAGGAAGATCAAACTTCTGTCAATAACATTGCAGGCACAGAAATCTCATATTATTAGTATACTATACAATGTCTTAAAAATGAAAGAAATGGTACACTGGACAAATATGTCATCATTATAGGATTTTTCAATTCTACTTTTTGGATTGCAGTAAACTCTGTGTGGGAATGAGAACTGTGGAAAAGATTACATACAGGGTGGGGGTTGCTGACCTATTTAGATTTAGAGATTTCTAAAAACACGAAGCTGCCAATCAGGACCTAACTACAGTTCTTCTAATAGTCAATGACCAGAAGATTTAAATTTTTTTTTTAAAAAACCCTCAGTAGTTGTATTTTATTAAGAGAGCTCAGTAGTTTGTACATATGACGTTTGCACTAGTTCCCATGTAATATTTTAAAGGTTATATGTGAGCTGTATATAGAGGGCTTCTTAAGTCGTAGGTCAAGATACCCTGCTAGAAAACATATCTTCTGTGGAGAATTCTGCCTCTATTTTGGTTATTTTCGGTCTAAAACTAGCAATTCCAATGTCACCTGAACAAACATCTATTGAATTAGTTAATAACCTCCCTTAGATGTTATAATCGCTTGCTTGTCTGGAAAAATAACACCACAAACATGTGTTTTCCTTTCAGGGCATGTAGAGAAAGGAAAAGAGCACTTGTTTAAGACACACATGTGTCCCGAGTGTAAACGCTGCTTTAAGAAGAGGACCCACCTAGCAGAGCACCTTCATCTTCATTTTCCCGACCCTAATCTTCAATGCCCCAACTGCCGCAAATTTTTCACGAGCCGCAGCAAACTGAAGATCCACATGATGAGGGAGTCTGGAGAGAAGACTCACCGCTGCCCGCTGTGTGATTACTCCTCTGTGGAAAGTAATGCTCTTAACCGTCACATGGCCAGCATCCACGAAGGGGTGTCCAACTTCTATTCAGACACCTACTCTTGCCCAGTGTGCAAGGAGACCTTTAAACTGAGCCAGTCTCTTAAAGACCATATGAAGGTACATGCATCACAGCAGAAGATGCTTTCATGCTTCCAAGAGGGTTGTAACCAAGCCCTCTCGGACCGTAAAGAGTTCTTACGTCACCTTAAGGAAGCTCATGGCATCCGAGGTGTGGAGTGCCAGTACCACGCTTGCTCACTGCTCTTTAAGTCGCAAGAAGAGATGGAGCAGCATCGGAAGATTCACTATGCTTTCCATTGCCAGGAGTGTGACTTTGCCTGCTCAAACAAGCACGCTTTCCGCAATCACAAGAAGAAAGGGCATCCAGGCAAGGAAGAGTTGTCCTGCCACTTCTGTCCTTATAAGAGTTTTAACCCTGTGGAGTATGCAGACCACATAGGGAAGATGCACGCTAATGAGAAAATTCACCGATGTGGGGATTGTGAATTTGCCACTGCACACAAAAGAGTTCTCATCCGCCATTTGTTACTGCACACTGGTAAGATGAAAAATTATAAGTTTAACCATTTAATTTCAAGCATGTCGCATGCCGGTCTACCCTGCGAGAAAACTGTCTAATTTTTTATAATGGTTATTATGTGTGATGTTTTTTTCTTTTTTCTTTTTTTCTTGTTTTATAGGAGAGAAACCTCATAAGTGCAGCCTGTGTGATTTCACCTGCAGAGATATCAGCTACCTCTCCAAGCACATGCTCACTCATTCCAGCGAAAAGAACTATATGTGCAGCGAGTGCGGCTACATCACCAAGTGGAAACACTATCTCACCGTGCACATGCGCAAGCACAGCGGGGACCTCAGGTTACTGCAGTCAGACCACTTGTCGCAAACAGTTTTTTATGCCCTTCCTCTGTGTTCCTATTAACAAAAACCTTTCAGTGTTTTAAAGAGACACTTAGCATCTTAATATGAAAATACATTGTACCCAAAAAAGTAGTTCCATTTCAGAGATCTGGTGTTAAAACCAAAAGTTCATTGTTCAGGGGGAGTAATGGCAATGGGGTATTTGTGTGGAGTGCGTTGGTATTAACTGAAACCTATAATTTTATTATAGGTATCAGTGTAACCAGTGTTCCTATCGCTGTCATCGTGCGGATCAGCTGAATAGCCACAAACTACGTCACCAGGGGAAAAGTCTCATCTGTGAGGTCTGTGGATTTGGCTGCAAGCGTAAATACGAACTCCAAAAACACATGCAAACAAAGCACTCCCAATCCTGCCAGACACCCATGTACCACTGCCAGCACTGTACCTACCAGACCAAATACAAGCAAGCACTGCTAAATCACAACAACTGCAAACACACCAAACAAAGGGAGTTTCGCTGTGCCCTCTGCACGTATCGTACCTTCAGCAACACTAGCCTCTTCTTCCACAAACGCAAATCACACGGCTATATCCCTGGGGATAAGGACTGGCAGGAAAAATATGCCACCAAGCAGCAAGAGATCAACCAGTCTGACACGTTGTTTCCGTACAAACCAGAGGAAAATTCCCATAACAAACAATCTCTCTCCATTGTCCAGAAACTTTACTCGCAATCATTGACTGCTCAGGGGCAAAGTGACTTGATGGAACAGGAAACTGAATGTTTACAGGTTGGTGATCTAAGTGAGACAAGTGGAGATGGCCAAGTTTCAGTGACCACTGAATCCCTATTGGCAACTATGACATTGGAACCTGTTGAAGCCTGCAACATAAAGATGGAGAGTTTTCCTGCACAACTTGAACTGTCTACATCCACTGATCTTTTGCCCAATGACTCTTCGGTTGAGACATTGGGTGCTTGTGAAAACTCTCTTCCTACAAAGGATGCAATGTTATGTTTCTCTGAAACCTTGGCAGTGGAAGACAATGATAACTGTGGACAGGAGTTTGAGGAAGAGCCAAACCCACAGTCCATAGATCAAGCCAAGCTAGGACACTGTCCAACTGCTCAGTACAACCAACAAACAATGCTGTGTACTCTTGGTGACAAATATGAAGAGCTACATGTCCATGCTGGTACTACTTTAGATCTCCAGACTGGAGAAATACCAGTAGAGGTCCAAGAGTCTTGGGTAGAAGCTATAAAAGGTGGAGTAGAATTAACCATTGTATGCGAGTCCAGTGGGCTTCTGCATAATGATGCCACGGAAACTGAAGGTTCTGCCACATCTCTAGAAGAAAATAGTAGACCGGATTCTGTTCTTAAAGCTTTAAGGAAGCAGGACAGAGAACAAGCGGAGGCACTTGTGTTGGAGGGCAGAGTTCAAATGCTGGTTGTCCAGTCCAGTGCTCAAGTTTACAAATGTGAGAAGTGTTCCTATGTCACTAAGAAGGAAGAAAGTATGTACCAGCATGCCAAAACTGCCTGCCAGGTGCACAGAGACTCACTAGTATGCAAAGAATGCGGTGCTTGCTTCAAACAGCAGAGGGGGCTCAACACACACATCAAGAAGAAGTGCCCAGTTATACTCAAGAAGAAAAAAGCTGTTCTAAAGACTTCTTCTACATCTGTAGGGACTGATCAACAAGTGTCCAGTAGCAGTTTGCCCCAAGAGAATAGTCATGGAGATGATATAATAAATATGGTTTCGGCTTTGGACACTGTTCAGGAATCTCAAGGGATGGACATTTCAGAACACAGTTTAGAAGACGTGGAGACAATATCTTCTTGTCAAAATTTGGTTCAAGAGGAATTCAAAGAAAACATTCCTGAAAAATGTGTTTTGTTAGATAAAGGTGAAATAGGAGTTTTATTTTCACCCCATCTCACAGGAGAAAGCCACGATAACGTATCTGCTCAGGAGAATGGAAAATACAGATATGAGCAGGGGAAGTTCCATTGTCTGGTTTGTTCTTTTTCCTGCTCTAGAGAATGTACCATTAGTTGCCATGTGAAGGAAAACTGCAAAGGCTTAAAAAGGATCATTTGTGTCCAGTGCCCTAAGGTGCTACTGTCTGAGGCAGCCTTGAGAAAGCATCAAAAGGAGAAACATCTAAAACTGGTTGATCAGGATAAAGACCAGCTGTCAGAGTGCTCTGCAGATGATGGAAGCCAAAATCTGGAGGATGTTGAGGAGAATATGGAAGTTTTGGGTAATGGAAATTACAAATCAAATAATGACACTGAGAGTGGCTGTCGACTTTCTTGTCCCACCTGTTCCTTCAAGTGCTCCCAAGACAGAGCAATGAGGACACACAAGAAAAGGGGCTGTTTGAAACCAGGGGAGCTTCACTGCCCCTTGTGCTCCTTTCGATGCATGTCTGTGGCAGCCTTGAAACGTCACAGAGCATTACACCAGAAGTACACGCGTAACAGAATTCAGCTGCAGTGCAAGCAATGTGATTTCATCTGCAAACAGCCACGATGCATGAAACAACATGTTCGGATCCGCCATGAAGGTATCAAACCTCATTGTTGTCCATACTGCGATTTCAGTACCACCAGACGTTACAGACTGGATGCTCACGTGTCCATGCACACTGGGGTTGGCCGTATATCCTGCAGTTCCTGTAGTCGTACTTTCGGGACTAACTCTAAGCTGAGACTCCATCAACGCCGTGTTCATGAGAAGAAACCCACCCACTTCTGTAATCTCTGTGACTATAGTGGCTACAGCCAGAATGATATTGCACGCCACATGGGAAGTTGCCACAGTGGTGAACTTGCCTTTCCTTGCTCAGTTTGCCAGGCAAGCTTCAGTTCCGAGGCGGCACTAAAGCAGCACAGCTTGCGGAAGCACCAAGAGAAAGATATCCATGAATGTCCACAGTGTTCCTTTACCTGTCACAGCATTTCCACTCTTAGATGTCACCTCCAGAAACATCATCTGCAGTTAGAGTGCAGCATCTGCAAGCAGTCATTCTCTCGACGTCTAGATCTGGAAGAGCATCGCAAATCCCACTTTGCCCACCACTGCCAGCAATGCAAATATGCAGCCAAAGATAGCAAGCAGCTGGTGCACCATTACTCCATGGAGCACGAGAATGTAACAAATCCTGGCTGCGAGGGAGAAGAGAGTTTTCTCCATTGTCCATTCTGCTCATTTTCTTGTCGCCACCAACTGGTTTATGACCACCACGTCAAAGGTCATGGGGGCACTAGACTGTACAAATGCACAGAGTGTGATTATACTACCAGGAACAAACAGAAGATCACTTGGCATAGTCGCATTCACACTGGCGAAAAACCATACAAATGCCATCTCTGCACCTACGCTTGTGCAGACCCTTCACGTCTCAAAGTAAGTTTTTTTTTGTTTGTTTTTTTTTTAAAACACTTTTTATATACTATGTGTGATGATGTATTTTAATTTAATTTTTCTAAGAATAATATTTTTCATGGCCCTGATATCATCAGCCTTCATATTGCATGGTATCAATCAAACTGTGCATTTTGGAGAATAATATACACATTAAAGGACCACTATAATGTACATTCTCGTTTTCCTGGCACTATAGGGTCCTTGGGTCCCCTTCACCCTCAGGGCCCCCCTCCCGCCGGGCTCTAGGGTGAGGAAGGGGTTAATCCCTTACCTTTTTTCCAGCTCCGGGCTCCCTCGGCCCTGGGGACTCTCCTCCTCCTTTCCCGTCATCGGCTGAATGCGCATGCGCGGCATGAGCTGCGCGCACATTCAGCCAGTCTCATAGGAAAGCATTCTGTAAAATCACAGTGAGAAGCGCCTCTAGCGACTGTCAATGAGACAGCCACTAGAGGCTGGATTAACCCTAGTGTAAACATAGCAGTTTCTCTGAAACTGTGATGTTTACAGCAGAAAGGGTTAATCCTAGATGGACCTGGCACCCAGACCACTTCATTAAGCTGATCCTTTAAGTAATAATGATGGTATAATACTCATGATTATTCACCAAAACTTAAAATTGGTGAAAAATTGGCAAGAGAACTGCACATTTTATCCAAACTAGAACATTTCTCTAGCTTAGCTGTTTCGAATTATAATTTTCACTGCCCTTGACATCAGTCCTGTGATAGTAAGTAATGGACAATTCTATAGCTAGGTGGTGGAAGCCAGCTTTTTTTTTTTTTTTTTGCTGTACAAATTTCTGTCTCATTTTCCATGTTTTTTAAAGGTTTGGGATAACCATAATCAATAAATAAACACAGAAAAATGAATTAAAAGAAAAAAAGTATATAGTACAGGTTAGACAAATTATATAAACTGAAGTCTGATATCCTGCCTGTCACGTGGGAATTTTGGAGAATATGCCAGTAATTTAAGTGAAATAACAAAGAATTTGTCTTACTATTCATGTTGCATGTTATTTTTCCTTAAAGCAACACTATAGTATCGAGAACACAAACATGTATTCCTGACACTATAGTAGTGAAATTGCTATTTAGGTGACCTGCTCCCTTTGAAAAGATGACTTTTTTCCAGCGTTGTGCTGGTCTCACTGCAGCTTTCCCTGCCTCATGAAATATGACGATCTTAGCCAAATCAATGCTTTCCTATGGAATTGAAAAGCTATGGGAGGCTATTGACATGCGCGGCCAAACGCTGCGTCTATCAGCATTTCCTCATAGAGAGGCATTGAATCAGTGCATCTCTATAGGGAACATTTCTGCACACTGTGCAGCACTGACTCAGGAAGTATCTCAAGTTAGTCACTAACCACTAGAGATGTTACAAGGCAGCAATGTAAATATTGCCTTTTCCCTGAAAAGGTCGTGTTTACATTAAACCCTGAAGGGAAAGGTTATAGATACCAGAACAACTACATTAATCTGTAATTAATGTTAGCTTAAGTTTGTTAAAATCTTCTTGTAACGAAACATTGAATTCTCTCTCACAGTACCACATGCGGATCCACATGGATGAGAAGAAATATTTGTGCCCAGAATGCGGATACAAATGCAAATGGGTCAATCAGCTGAAATATCACATGAGTAAGCACACAGGTAATAAAATGTGCTTGTATATTCATATCTTAGGTTTTTATGTTTGCAGCATCTGCAGGTATTGCTAATAAATACACAGATACATTACAACAGGAATTTCTTCTGACATTTTACAATTCAATAGATAAAATGTTTATCTTTTATTATTTCATCTGTTTTATTATCCTCTCGCTGACATACCATGCCCCCATTTAATGTATTCTCTTTCTGCTGTGTAAATACAGTTTTACTTTCCCCTTTGAATCAACAATAAAGACCCTCTCCTCCCTCCCCCCACTGCTCAGCTCAAAACAAGTGGGAGCTCTACATTTAAAAGGGGAAAGAGGGAAACAGCGCCTTGATGATGTCCTCCAAGTAAAAATAAATCGGGAGATAGGACAAACAAAAAAAGGAATATAGTGTAGTATGGTAATATTGGTGTGGAGGAAAAAAGGAAGAATTGCACTTAGTGTTTGGAGCTATAAACTAGCTCCAATAGTTGTGTCTGGGCGGTACAATCCCTGCCTGAGGATATAGACTTGATATGACTTGGAGCAAAAATAGTTTGTGCTCATTCCAAGGGCATAGGTGGTATGTTCCCCACCTAGGAAATGTATGTCCCAATACCAGGATAATAGGAAGATTCAGATGTTATATCCAAAAACTTTGTTTGAAAATAAAGTACTAAAAATAAAATATCCTGACACACTAAAACTCTTCACCCAGTAAAATAGGCTTTTTCAAAGTGCTACAGGTGGTGGGGGGGACCTTCGCTGTTTATATAGTAGGAATAGCATTTACAAAAAGAAGTTGTGTGACCGTCCACTAATTAACTTCAGGAGAGTACAAACTGAGTAATAACCAGTGTAGAATAAAATAGGGGAAATCTAGACTTCATAGGATAATACAATTTAAAATAATACAATTTAAAACAAGGTCTATGACACATTAAGAACAAGGGGAAGGTGAGGTGTACCAAAATGGCCAGAATAATTTTATTTCTCAATGTTGGCACACAATATTATATAATAAAAATTGCAAAATGCCTTTAATTATGTTTTCATTTGCTCCATGCAGGTTTAAAGCCATACCAGTGTGAAGAATGTGACTACTGCACAAACCGTGCAGATGCTCTTCGTGTACACAGAGAAACACGTCATCAGGACATCCGTTCCTTTATCTGCGAGCAGTGTGGCAAAGCATTTAAGACTCGTTTTCTGCTGAAAACCCACATGAAGAAGCACAGTGAGGACAAACCATATATTTGCAAAGTGTGCCAGAGCAGCTTTCGTTGGCCAGCGGGCTTACGCCATCACTGCCTCACCCACACCAACCAGCAACCCTTCTTTTGCCAACACTGCTCTTATAGGGCCAAGCAAAAGTTCCAGGTCGTTAAACACATACAAAGGCATCATCCGGATTGTCCAGACATCTCCAAAGGAGTGGGAAAGGACCCCATCTTATTAAACTCCCCCCCTCAGGATCCCGTCGACGCTAGCATCCACCAGTCAACCCAGACAATATAAAAATGAACCAACTTAGCATGACACCTGATGAATGGTTGGTTGGCCCCGAACAAGCATGCCCTGTCATCTTTGTAAAATCTTAATGGCATCAACAAAGACTATTTTTTTATAATATGTTAATTTATGTTTTAATATTTTGAGAAAAAGATAAAATTATTCTGAATTTTAACGTGTTATGCAACCTTTTTTGTTGATTTAAAAGCAGACACAATTAAAACAAACAAAAACAAACATTGGAGGCTGGCTGTGTTCTCTCGTTGCCCAGCAATGTATTTGAAACATCCTGGTTACTACAATAATCTAATTAATATGTGATCGATGATCTCAGCCCATCCAAAGATTTCCTATCGGAAAGCAGTGTGAGGCTTTTGCGCATGCTCTTCAAAGCGTAGCTCTATGCCAATCAGATGGTGTCTATAAGTCCGTCTGATTAAAATAATGGAGTTTATTTCAGCAGAAATGCCTCTTGTGGCTGCCAGTATAAAGGCAGGTGGAGGTAGGTAACCCTGTAATGAAAACATTGCCCTTTCTGCAGAATGGAAGTGTTTTTTTTTAGCAGCAGGATTATACATGGCACCCAGACCACGTCATTGAGATGAAATGGTCTGGGTGCCTATAGAGTTCCTTTATAATTGTGAGAAATTGGCATTTGGAATTCTGACTGATCTATGAACTGTAGCATACTGAGCAATAATACAGACTGCAAGTAACAGAGAGAGGTTAAAGGACAAATGTCATCACATTTTCACTACTCTTGTTTATTACATTTAGTGAAACAATGATTTTTGTTTGGTGTGAAACTGTAGCAGAAAAAAAGTGAAATTTTTCTCCAAAAATGTTTTTAATACATAATAAATTACAATTTATTTTAAAAAAAAAAAAGTAATTTTTATAAAATAAAATCATTACATTTCATTAAACATTTTAAAATATGAAGTGAAAATATAATGATTGTTCCTTAAAGCAGGTAGATGCCAGAAAGATAATTTTGTGAACTTTCTTTTTAACAGCTTTACCTACACGTATATGCCTCTCAATATACCTTTATTAACCCACCATGTGAAAGGACATGAGTGCAAAAATGTAGCAAGAAGAAGGGGGCAGGGGACTCCTCTGACACATGTTATGTTTTAGAGCATTTTATATATTCCGCTATCTGTACTATGTAAAAAAGGTTTCTCCAAGAATGAAAAGAATTCACAGACAAAACAAAAGGTCATTTTGTCCTTCGCGCGCCACTGTGTGGAGAATGCCACATAATGTGTTTTGTTCAGAAACCTAAATAATATCAAACTGCCCACAGGAACCTGATCTCGTTTATATCCAAGGGGCAACTTTACCTGAATACAATTCTTATAGGCTGACAACATTTTTGAGGAGACATTTGGATAGCATCTACAAAAGGATAGCATGTTTTACAGTGTTATCCACTAGCAAAGGATTTAAGATTAACATTGGATTTTGTATGATATATATATTTATTTTTCACATATTTCTCTTTATTGACATTTTTTTTAACAAATACAATAAAAGACAAAAATAAAAGTAAGAATTGTATAAACTTCATGATAAAATACATATACAGATACATTGGTAAATGTAGTTATATAATCAACAATAAACAAAAATATAAATAAATCCTCCTTATCCTTTCCTTCTTTCTCTTAAGCTCTTTATACTAGTTAAAAAGTTTATTACGACAAAGTAATTAAATCATATCATTTATCATTCTGTAACGGTGGATAGGAAGGGGTAGAAAGCAATAAGAGAACAAAACACTATACATTCATTCATTAAAATAAATCCTATCAATCATCTTATTTTACTGTCTCTGGTGTTTCGGGGTACGATGTTCCTTAGCTGGTATATTTTTAAGATCTCTGGAGTTTTAAAGGTTTTACTGCGTATAAATCTCGCAGGCAAGGAAGTTTAGAGTTTGGTTTATATTAAACCATTTTGACCAGATCTTGTCGTATAATACTTCAGTCGATACATCTCTATTATAGAAATGTTTCTCTGAGGCTGCCTGGAACTTAATTTGAGTTTTAATCTCAGGCCATGATGGAACAGTTTGTGTTTTCCAATATCTAGCTAGACATATCTTAAAGGCCAATAGTATTATTATTATTATGAGAAATATGGTATGTTTATCTGTAACTGGAAAGTCTAAATGCAAGAGAAAAGTCTGAGATGTTATTGAATAGGGAAAATCTAGTGAATTTGTAATAACTTCTGATTCTGATATAATTTTTTTTTTGTACCTATCTAGGTATGAGCACTCCCACGAAATATGGCGTTGTGCTCCCATCTTTTGTTTACTTCTCCAGCAAAAATCACTAGAGTTTCTTTGGAATTTAGCTATACGAGTGGGGACCAAGTACCATCTGTGTGCCAACTTATAAAACAGTTAATACGATGAACTGCTTTTCTAATCCTGTTCCAGGCTTGATACCATGTCTGAATTGAGAATGATAAATTCAAATCAATTTCCCATTTTTTAAAAGCTTTAAGATTATCAATTATTTTTCAATTGGCAAGAATATTTGATATTTTTAAAACTAAATGTTTTTGGTTATGGTATATCGAAAATCTCATCCCATATATTTGAATCGGATAAAGAAATTACTGTGAAAAAATGTTTAATTCTGAAATAATTGAATAATTCTTTTGCAGGTAATTTAAATTTTTTCACAATATCTGGAAATTGGATCATTTCGGCTAAGTTAAATAGATCTCCCAGCCTATTAATTCCTACTGCTTTCCATGGCTTTAAATTTAAATCTGTAATATAGAGGGATAAAAGTTCAATTGTGGCATGTTTAGTAAAGATGTTATTACAGATATCTCTTCCTAATTTTATGTGCTGATAACACAATACTCTATTAAATGGCTCTCCATCTGTAGGTTTTTTTTGTTTTGTTTTTTAAATAGTTTGGGAGAAGACCATCTTAATAAGCATGGCTCACAGATTCCTATTCTATGTTTTTCAATGTTATACCAGCCAAGATTAGTCTTCTTCCTTCTCATCCATGCTATCATATGGAAGAATTGGAATGAGTCATAATAACAATATATATCTGGATATCCCAAGCTGTCCTGTAATGTTCTTCTCTTAAGGACTGTACTTGGGATCCTAGGTTTTTTAGATGCCCAGACAAAGTTAGAAAATGCCAAATTGAATTTTTTTCAGAATAGCGTTTGAGACTTGGTATGGTATAACTCTAAACAAGTAAAGAAGTTTTGGGAGTACATATGATTTCAATACACCAAGATGTCCCAGCCTTGACATTTCTAATCTCTTCCATTGAGTCAATAATATATTAAGTTCCCCCCACAGGGTTTCATAATTCCTTGCAACAGTTTCCAGTATTTTAGGTCTGATCTTAATTTCTAAATAATCTATAGATTGTTGATGTATATCAAATGGACCAAAGTCAGCTATGTCCTTCCTCAATTGATCAGTCATATAAAATGTCAAGATTTGAGTTTTAGAAAGATTTAATTTATATATGACAACGGGGAGAATAGATCTATTGCATCTAACAGGGCTGGTACTGAGGTACTGAAGATCCTGGAGAAGAGAGTGAAAGTAGCACATCATCTGCATATAATGTAATGGTATGTACTTGCTGGCCAATCTTTATACCTTTAATTTCTATGTTTTTTCTAATAAAAGCAGCTAACAGTTCGATTGATAAGGCCTAGAGTAGAGGTGCCAAAGGGCATCACTGTTGGGTGACATTTTGGATTTTGAATTAATTAGTCAATGTAAGCACCCCTGACTTTCGCCGTTAAGTTCATATAGAGAGCCCTTACTTGCTCCAAGAATATGCCATCTATACCAAACACCCGCAGAGTCTCCAGCATGAACCTTCAATTTTTCGGCATCGAGAGCCATTAAAATGGAAGGGGTTTGTTTAAGATGGATTTCCTCTAAGATGTTGTAGATTCTGCGGATGTTCTCTTCTCCTGACCTACCTGGTGTAAATCCAGCCTGGTCTGGATCAATAAGATCATGGATCACAAGATTAAGTCTTTGTCAAGATCTTGGAAAAAAACGTAATATCTAAATTGATAAGGGAAATGGACTTATAGTTGGTCACTAGCGTCGGATCCTTTCCTGGATTTAGGACAGGAGAAATACTGGACTCCATCATCTCTAAAGGGAAACCAGTATTTCCCCTAATTGAGTCAAACATTCTACTTAGAAGTGGATTTATTACCGGATCGAGAATTTGAAAAGATAGAGCTGTGAAGCCATCCGGCCCTGGAGCCCTGCCTCTTTTCATTTCCTTAATTGCTGATGATATTTCTGATGTTGTAAAAGGATAATTTAAACTCTCTAATTTTTTCTAGAAATAGGGAAGGGAGTTCAGGTCATTTAGAAATGATCTCATATCAACATTGTTGGCCACCGAATCCAGTAGATTATAAAGTGATTTATAATATTGGCTAAATGCCTTTCCAATCTGTACTAGTGATTAAATATTATTTGTTTTATTCTGGGTTGCTGATGATATATTTTTAGTTTCCTGGTCAGCTCTTTGCCAGGCCTGTTGTTGTTATAATACCAGTACCGTTTTAGGAGCGCTAGTGATTTCTCTGCATTTTCTTGTTATTTTACCCTGGATGGTTTTTATCTCATCTGCAACCTTCTTTGTGGTAATAACGTTATTCTGTCTTTCTAGTTTTGCCAGAGAAATATATAATTCTGCAATTTCTCTATCTTCTTTTCTCTTCATCCAGGATCCCTTTTTTTTAATCAAATATCCTCTTAAAAAACATTTCAAAGTGCACCATAATGTACAATCTTGAACTTCCCCATTATCATTAAACTCTAAAAAGTCATTGGCCTGTTTAATCAGTTCTTGTTTACTCTCTTCTGATTTTAAAATAAATTCACTCATTTTCCATTTAGAGCGAGAACCATATTGATTATTGCCTTTAGGATTTAAAAATGTTGGTGCGTCTTCTGACCATGTGATGTTTCCTATCCTGGAGTTGTTAGTCATAGAAAGAATAATCTCTTTCCTCTGGAAGATGAACCATATACATCATAAAGATTATTTTTTAAAAGAGAATTTTAAAAAGTTTAGCCTTAATTCTAATATTATTTTCATATTTACGGTCTTTAACTTAACTGATCTATCTTTGTCACGATTACAGATGCTATTTAGATCTTATCTATAATTGCAATAGAATGATTTCAAAATTTAAATACAATAAACAACTAAAAAACTTGGTGCTTACCATTTCAAACACAAAATAAAACCTTTTAAAATAGAGCAGCACCTATATCGTGTATTAGCCCCAAAACACTCCAATTATAGTAAAAAGAGAAAAAAGGTGCATTAAAATTTAAACTGCAAATTCATTTAGCAGCATTAAAAGTGCAATATACTGCTTCACTCACAAGTGATAAAGTGTATACAAACAATCAGCACATATATGTGATATATCTAAAAGTGTAAAATGCAAAGAACCACTTTAAGTGACATAGTGCATAAATTAATTGTAACTTACACTAATAGTATTTCTGAGGTAAGCCACAACTCAAATTGAAGAACATAAAAAAGGACAAAAAACATACAGTATAATATTCTAGGATAAAGAGTACTAAATCGATGGAAAAAAATAGGAAATTAACTCACAAACATAGAGCAGATAAGTCTGCTCTACCTTTAGTAGCCCAAATGTGTAGACTTCCACTGCAGCCAGTAAAGATAAATGAACATAGTTTTTTTCACATTAGCAAGTTAAAAATGCTTTGTAGCAAATATCACCGGATCCTTTGTAGCAACAGTCCTGCCTAGAATACGTCTAACTGCCGACTGTTTGTTGTGCTCATACACACTCCAGATGAAGCTGTGCTTGCAGTCAGGATACTTCTGGGAGGCGGAGTGTACGTGATGACGTCTACTCCTGGTCAGATGACGCGTTTCGCCGAGTGATCGGCTTTTCAGATCTGACTTCCTTCATACACACAGTCCTTATAAATCCACCCCAAGGGCGTAACATATTGTAAAAACTATTCCTACTGGCTATACAGAAAAACCTCATTGTCATATTGATGGTGATGTAGATTAATTTAGAAATAAACAAAAATGTTTAAAAGTCTATCTGTTCCTGTCCAAATCTGAGATGAATAAATTGCGTATACGCAGAAGTAAGTTCACACTGACACATGCAGTTCAGGTTAAAAACACTTCAGGAAATGTATTAGCATCTAGTTAAAAAGCGGGCACGCAGGCCTTTTTATATGCAAAATGACATCAGCATTGAATATCAGATAATAACAAATAAACATCATTAATTGGGTTAAATGTTAAGTGGCTATGTCAGTGTCCACCCATTAATATTATTAATTGGCTCAGAGATTTGAGTGACTAGTGAGGCACCCTCCCATCATGGGATGTCGTCGCCATTGCTCTTTAGCACGAGGCTTACTCGGTGGAAAGGGGGGGCTTGGGCATCATTTTACCTAGTTAGTGATGTCAGTCTCGTGGTCTGTTCCAAGGTTCTTTTATGAATAG